ACCCCTCAAGGCAGGGCGATCCTATCTTGCATACGCCTCGTCCAACCTCTACCAGAAATGCTCGCAAATGTCTCTGATCCGACCTCCACCCAGTCGAGCCCTGACATAGCCCGAGACTCTTGACCACCCTTGACTCGGATCTTTATTACCCTCTGGACTACCTATCCTCTGGATGGGCTCTCCCTTCGCTTTGACGCACACTACTGCCACACGATAGCCTCTCGATCTGGTGTGATCATTTTGGCAATCACGCTTGCGCAGGAACTGATACTTGATTTCTACTCGAATAGGTCTATCCTAGCCCAACCAGGTCAAGCCAGTGTTTCTCCCCCACAGTCCTCGAGGCAAGGACGAGTATTTTGCATGAAAGTTGCATCCCTGGAGATTACATCTCGGCGCAAGTGGTATCAGCCTTGCAGAAGGTGAGTTTGGCTATTCCCCTGTCCCCTTCCGTACGCAGGAACGAGGCTTCCATTGGATTGTGGTCCACACCCTCAAGACGACTTAAGAGTGCTTCGACGGCGCTGATACTCTTGACATCAGTATCTTCGGTTATCAACAGCAGCAGCAGCAGCGTCCGCCTCAACCCCCCCTCTAGACGCGTGGAACCAGCCCGTCGAACGCCCCAGACATTCCAGCTGGGCTGATTCACAATCATCAAAGGGCAAAGGTGTGCTGTGTTCTGTGGTATAACAATCGTCCGGGAATGCGCCTGTCTCTTGTCAGAACTCGGCCGCACCACTCAGAGCTCGCGACTGTGTTTACTTGTCTCAGTCGTGCTACTGTCGACGATCGGGAAGACGCAAGCCCAGGCCCATTTTGACATCTCACGACAAAACTCTCTGGGTAAGGTGAAGAGCAGCAAATTTCCCGGCACGAAGAGACGCGACAGATTGGAATTGCGTTGTCTCACTGACTCGGGAGTCGTCGAGACGTTGCGCCTGGCTTACACAGCGCGTGGCGACCACTTTCTGTCCCAGACATTGGCTTGCATTCTTAACCTCTTCCCTTCCCCATCAAAACAGCAAAGCACCCAGGCGTCACCCTTTCACTCTGCGTGGATGTCGTCCGTCAAGTTCCAGTCACCGTCTTACAAGCTGTTCGAGGTGAGTCGCTTCCTTAGACTCTGGGTCAACACACACTTCTCCTCCTTTCAACACTTGCCCACCAGCTGGAACACCTCGAGCGCCGAGACTTGTCGACTGTTTCGCATCAAGCAGAGTATTCTGTGGCTAACCTCTGAGTACTACAGCCGGAGTATCATCCACAGAGGCCTATTATCGTTGGCTTGGACGACACGCTCGAGTCGCCAGACACCATTGCCCTTCGCTTGGAAGAAGCGCGACGAGGATCCCTTGGTGAGGATTCTTCTCCCAGACTCTTTGAGATGGCGACATACAGTAAGGCGGCGCCCTTGCCGTCGATGAATGGTTCGTCAGAGCATAGTCACACTGCAGGGGATGTTCAGCTGACTGTCCAAGGCTACGATCCTATGAGGTTCCATCAGAACACATACGAGCAGTATCAACCGGAACCTTATCCGGCACCTGCGCAGAATGACAAGTTTGCGCAACTCAACCAGCAGGCCTTTGCGTCAAACAATGCAGTGGCCCCGCCTGTTTCTCCATACATGCCTCCGGGCCCATCGGTGGTTTCTTGTCATCCTACCACCGGGACAGAGGGCACCAGGGTCTTCCTCAAGATATCGTCACACTACGATATTTACTCCATCTCAGCGACGCCATATTTCCACCTCCAGTTTGGCAACGAAAAGTGTGCCCTGCGGGACGTGACCAACCACCCCCAGAGCAGCAATGGCAGCTACATTTACTCGTGCAGCGCCGAGGCGCCCCAGTCCGTCGTCACGGGTTGTGATAGCAGCAATGTGCCACTGTCACTCGTAATCGAGGCGGCTCCCGGCGAGGAGATCTCGAGGACGGCAGCCGGGTCTTTTCAGTATGTTCAGGGGCCAGAAGATGACATCACGCGGACCGACAAGCTGCCCAAGCTCGACCACGCACCACATGCCCCTACCGCGGATGACCATGAGAGCGTGTCGCCCAAGATGGACCAGCCGCCTGCCATATCCTCTGTCGTGCCTACAAATAACTACGATGCGCCTCCAGAGCAGCCTCAGTACTCTAGTGAGCCATATGCCCAAACCCCCGAAGACATGATCAGCACCTACAGGAGCTCGACATATGTCGAGTCCCCCTACAACCGCCGCTCCGCGCACGGATGGACCAACTTCCCCGGGACCCTTGGCAGCTCTGGGCGCAGCCCTATGCTCTCACACCACCAGAGCATGACCGGGCGACCCAGCCTGGCGCCTCTGACCAGTGGCAGTGGCCAACCGGAGCTGATCCGCACCAGCACGATCAACCCCAACTCGACAGGCAACTCTTACAGCCAGATGACGCCAAGTACACCGAAGGCTGTCCTCAAGATCAACGGCAACCTCAACTCGATGGCTGAGAACTGGACGCCGGAAGAATGGGGCAACCGACGTCGCATCGTCATGTTCCGCAGGAAACAAGTGGGCAACACGCTGAACACCACATTCCAGCCCGTCCCAGTCAACGAGCGCCCACAGAACAGCATCTGCATATCTTGCATCTACTGGGCTGAGAAGAAGGAGTGCTTTGTGACATCGGTCGACACCATCTACCTCCTTGAGCAGCTCCTCACCGGACCCAAGAAGTTCTCCGTGGAAGAGAAGAACAGGATCCGACGTAACCTGGAAGGATATGCCCCCCACACGGTCTCCAAGGGCAAGGCGGAGAGCCAGGAGTTCTTCAAGCTCATCATGGCCTTTGGCAATCCCAAGCCCCGCAACATCGAGAAGGATGTCAAGGTCTTCAACTGGAAGAACCTCGAGGCGTCTCTCAAGAAGATTATCGGCAAGTACAGCGCGAGACCCGCTGGTGGCGCCTCGCAAATGCCCTCAAACATGATGGCGCACACACCCTATGCCACCCTACCAACACCTCCTGGTCAGGCGCTCTCGCATCATCGGGATCATCAGCAGCAACAGCCGCAGCAACAACACAGCCAGTACCCCATGCACTCCAGTCATCACGACATTCCCTCGCCACGATCGCTCTCGGGGTCTGGGCCATCTTGGGCTCCCTACACGGCCGCGCCCTCCTATCAGCCCCCACTGACAAGAACACTCAGTCCCCATTTGCGTCAACCGAGCCCCCAGCAACCGCCACACATCCGGATCAACACCAGCAACACTCTACCCTCCGTGTCGACATATGACTCCAGGTCCATCACAGCCAGCGGCTACGGGGCGACTGGTCTGCACACCCCCATCAGTCAACACCCGTCGAATGCAACGCCGCCCAGATGGGACCCGGCGCCCGTAAACTACGCCGATGGGTACTCGGGCATGGGACAATCGCACCTCCAGCATCCTCACCACAGCCAGAACCACAATCACAACCACACCCACCATGCGCAGCAAACGGTTTATGGCACTGGACCGCCAGCCTACGGAGACGGTGGTCCGCCGCGCGCCTGAGTCTGAGCCTGATCATGAGCTTGGGACGCCCTCCGCCAGCCTCGCTCCGCTAGCGCGTGGCTGCTGTCCATCAGGTCATTCGCCGCCTTGGCGAGCTATCTCGTGTTCCCAAAGGCAAGGCCAGGGAAGCGGTCTACTACACCACATTGGACAGCCTCGTGAGCAGGCAGAGTCGTAAAGGGTCGTCGTGCGGGGAGGTCAGGTGGTGTCTCGCGCACGCCAATCAACCACACCAGCCGCACACCACCATGTCTTCGGCCCCGCCAACCACACCATCGGGAAGAAAGCATGATGGGCGATAGCATGCTGCAAGGCGGAGGAGGCTTTCGATTAAGGGTCGTCGCGTCCCTGCCTTCCTCCCTTCCTCGCTTTCGTGGGGTCTCCTTGGTCCGGGTGGTTATTCTTAGCCTGGGCGTGTGAGCAGTACTCGACGACATTCGTTTCAACTTCATTGTCGTCATGACTGGGTCTTCTGCGAACCTGAATATGCATGCGACCCTCTTCTTGGCGTGCAGAATCTTGCACGCAAGGCTGTCATGGGATTTACGGTTGCGTTGGGGGTCCATGATCTGATCATCACAACTTGGCAACCGCCCTATTCCTGCTTTCCAGTGCGTTATGGTGTTTGTCTCGGTACTTGGCTGTTCCGCAGATCGGAGTTTATTTCTTTCTTCTTTACGTTGGAGTCGCGGGGAGTTTGGTCCGTGGCTGACAAGAGGAGAACAGGTGCGATTAGACGGCGTGTTTTCCAGGCATAGATGTTTGGTTTAGAGAAGCGGGTCTGCATTTTCACTTTCTTTTGTTTTTCGGGATATGGTCTGTTTCCTTTCGCGGTTTGGGCACAGGAATGCAAGTATATATACCCACTCGATGGCATGGTTACGTGGTATGGGCATGAGGTGGACGATATGGATACGGTTCAGTATTGATACAGGACTAATTGTAATGCATCACGTTATTTAATTTGATTGCTTTGGCTCGCTCACACACGCAAGGAAGAGTCTTGGTATTTCGTGATAGTCTTCTTAAAGGATAGTCCACGTAAGATAAAGTTTCTTAAAAGGTGAAACAGCGTCCACCGAATCGGAGAGGCCCAAGAATTCACCTGTGATTCTTGAACCATGTAAAGACCATGAACCTTTTTGTCGATTTTGTGTGTAGGATACAATAATAATAAGATACGGTAGTGGTGTAGGGTAAGCTTGCGGTAGACGACGTATGGTATCAAGATGGCGAACACTATTTGATCACCAAGGCTTACTGAATTTCACGGTTTAGAAACCCAGCAGCTTCCTATCCAAGACAAGCTGGGGCCTGTCAGGATCTCATGTTAAATAAGAAGAGGAGCAGTGCTACTAGTGCATACCAAGCGAAGCGCCATCACGTTGGAACCTGGTTCGACAAATTATGTATTAATATCTAACAATTGAAGCTTTTACACACAGCCATGACCGTCAGCCTGCCAAGCAAGCATTTAGCTCCTGACACCCGACCAGAACCTATCGTCGGGGACCGGTGCCCTGTCGAGCTTGAAGTGGCCCGGCTGGAGTTTCTGGAAGACAGCGGTGGGATCGTAAAACTTGGCAATACTGTTGAGCTTGTCGACATTGTCGGGACCGTAGTTGGCAATGACGTTCTCGTACAGACTGCCGTAGTTCATGTAGATGTAGTCATTCTGCTTGCCGAGCGCCGAGGCCTCGGACTCGATGCGGGTCAGGAGGTTGGAAATCCAGCTGTACACGCGCTCGTCGTCCTCGGCGTTGGACCACCAGCAGGCGACATGGATCAGGTACAGGGGCCCATCGGCCAGGTTGATGCCCAGCGGGTTGCCACCGCGGGCGCTCATGTGCTTGATCTGCTCGGTCGTGATGCCCTGGAAGATGAGGACGGGGTTGGCGCCCTCGACGTCGGCGAGCTTGGGCTGCTCCTCGAAGAAGACGTCGCGCGCCTTGGCGGCGACTTCAGAGCCGGCCTTGACGGTGAGGCCGTAGTACACCTCGCGGAAACCGTAGGGGTTCGACTCGTCCTGGGCATGGGCGTACTCGTGATGGGTCCGCTCCTTCGTGGAGTCGGCAATGGCCGTCAGGTTCTCGTAGGGCTCCCAGATGGCGGCGTCGGCACCCTCGGGGGTGGCGTACCAGAACTCGGTGGCGGCGAGCTTCATGCCGCCCTGGGAGAGCCAGGCGATCCAGGTGCCAGCGTTGGGGTCATCGGGGGTGTTGGCAATGGTCTGGACAAAGGCCTCGGTGAGGTCGGAGAAGTCGTTCTCGAGATACGTCTTGGTTCCACCCCACATCAAGCCGCCAGGAAGAGGGATGGCCCGGAAGGTAAAGGCGGTCACGATGCCAAAGTTGTTGCCGCCGCCACGGAGGGCCCAGTAGAGGGAAGGGTTCGACTTCTCGGTGACGTTGATGATGAACCCGGCAGCGGTGACGACCTCGTAGGTGAGGACGTTGTCGCAAGCCCAGCCGTATTTGTTGGAGAAGTAGGAGATGCCGCCGCCAAGGGTCAGACCACCAGTACCGACCTTGCCGACACGTCCTCCAGTCACGGTGATCTCGTCCTTAGCCAGCTTGTCGTATACCTGGCCCCAGGTGTTGCCGGGCTGGATCTTGACCTTTTGCTTGTCGCACGACACGGTGACATCTTGCATCTTTTCAAAGGTGACGGTGATGCCGCCCTCAATGTTGGAGGCACCAGCAAAGGCGGCGTGACCACCGCTCTTGACGGCAAAGGGGCACTGCGTCAGTCGCGACAGCAGCACGACGACGGAAACGTCCTCGGCCTTGGAGGGCTTGAAGATGCACTGAGGGTCGACATCAGCCTGGATCTCGGACCAGAAGGCACCGGTGAACTGGTCATAGGCATCGTCGTTCTCGGTGACGACAGAGTCACGGCCAAAGATGGCACTCAGCGACAGACACTGCCAGGCGGGTCAGCACTTTTCATAGAGACATCATGGGGGCGATCCCAACTTACAGCGGCAGGGCAGGCATACTGCTCAAGAGAGCGTGTCGAGAGAGAGGATGCAGGTAGATCCTTCACCTGTACGCCGAGGCGCTCGAGCTCTTGGGTCGCATTGAATCCTGCAGGCTCGAAACTCTCAGGCTGCGACAGAGCTGCCGCGTGGGCACCTCCCAGAACAGAAGCAAAGAACAGTGCCGCCGTCTTCATGGTGACTGATTTTTGGGTTGACGAAAGAAGAATAGAAGTGGATGTGAAACGCAGAGCGGGTGGACCTGGCCTTGTACTTCTTCTTCTTCTATTTCTTCTCTTGTCCTTTGCCACGCAGGAGGCCTCGGCTGAGTTGAGAACGAGTGACTGCCCAGGCGCGAGAGCGATTAATGGTTGGGGCGGGGAAGAAAGGAAAGAGAGTGGCGAAGACGGTTCGAATTATTTGAAGACATTGCGGTTCTCATGCGGCCAAGGTATCCGTACATACAGATACGTACAGGGAATCGATATCGACCATGCCTGGGGAATTAAATCGCGGTTGGCCTTGCAGCCGCACGCGAGGAAACCGGGGGATCGGATCTCGGATGCTTGGCACAGCCCGAAGTGGGCGGCCGCCTTGGACTGAGTAACGAGTTCCGAGTCTCCGATCCCCTGGAGCTGCTTCTTCATTCTTCATGATGGCAGAGCAGGAAGAGGAGGAAGAAAGCACCGGTAAAAAGGCAACGCCGGCACGCTGAGAGCAGCAGCACGACCTGGCAGAGATTGGATGTGGACCCCCATCATGCACGTCTGCAGGAGGCCAGACTGGAAAGGGAAGCCTGCAAGGGCCGAGGGAATAATCGTGGCCAGGGTTCAACAAATATCTGCAGAAGTTCCAGCCAAGAGCCCAGTGTGCGTTTTCCTTCCAGCTGGGAGCCTGGGACGCACGTGTCTTGCTCCATCTGCACTCGATATTGTTTGTGACTGATCTCGATATTGTTTGTGACTGATCATGTCTCGAATCGAATATAATGCTACATGCACCAAGGGATAGGGGCGCAGCAAATTGAACAAAATCTCTCGAGGGCCGAGAAAGTCACTGGACGAAAGAATGGTCCAGATTCGTTCTGCGTTGTACTCTGTGTAGTCGCGCAGATATGAGTGTCTTCATCAATGATCAATGCCAACGTATCAACTCTCACGAACCGGCAACAGGCGATAAAAAAAAACCTTCCACCACCCTTTTCCCAATTTACTCTTGCAATGCATAATTACGGCTGCAGTCTCTATGCGTCTCTCAAGGGCCACGGGCCACGGCTCAAGGCACGTTCTCGGGCCAAGACTGAGACCCCTGGTGGCAACTTGCTTCTGGGATATCTTCCACCGCAGCCTAGGCCATTTGGGAAGCAACACTATCCTTCTTACGGATACGGAAGCGGCATCATGACCCTGTCTTGCAAGCTACCATCAGGTAGGCTTGCGCCGGGCATTCGTACGGCCAGTCGCATTACTTGCCTGACAGCGAAACGCTCCCGAGCCGTGTCAATCCTCCGGATGAACTGTCTGAGATCCCTAGCCGTCCCTTCCGAGCGAGCATTTGTATCAGGAATATGAGCGCATGTGAACTTGCGAAGAACATTCTTGTGGGGAAATGTCAACAGTCCGCCGGAAACCATGACCTCGGTCTCGAGACTTGCCCATGAGGCCGTACACCGAGAGCCTGGATGATTGCTCTGCAGCCCTTGCCACCCAATGCAGAGCGTGGGATGTAGGTAGGTACATGTTCCTCAGACAGGGATGCGTCTTGTCAATCTGCAACGGCAGAGTAGAAGGTCAGTCAGTGTGTGTGCCTTATCGGCCCACGTTCACGCATGTAGACGGCACAGCCGTGCGTTGTTTTCTTCAACACCCCTGCCAGCTGCGGCCTAGCTACAGAAAGGGATCTCACACTTGCCCCCAGGGGATCTAACGTGGGACGCTCGAGCGTTGTATCGCGCGATCCTGCGCGGGCGTGCCCTTGTCTGGTACTCACCAGCCAGGCCGTGTCTGTCCTGCAGTCAATCGCCTGCCTGATGCCACGGCACAAGATGACAAGGAGAAGCAAGAGATCGAGTCCCATCCCATCCCGCACACTGATCAGTCGCTTCTATAAACCTCACCACATCCTCCCCCTCGACCCCTTCATAGTGAGTTTGTGGTTATAGCCTCTAGCCAGCCAGACAGCCATCGCCATGGCGGCGGGCTTGAACAACACGAAGCTCATGGTGACGGGCATCATCATGAGCATCTTCGCGTCCCTCATCTTCTTCACCCACATCTATCTCGCCGTCATCCGCAAACGCACCTTTTCGTGGGAAGACGGATGGCTGACGGCAGCTTGGATGGTCTTCATTGTCATCACCAGTCTTTACCTCAACGCCGGGCCTGTTATATTTCGATTGCAAGATGTCTCCGAGGGCAAAATCGAACTGTACGACACAATTATGGACGATACACTGGTTGTACAAAAGACGTTTTTTGTCGTCACCTCTGGTCTTTGGATCTGCTTGTGGCTCATCAAGGCTTCGCTGCTTTGCTTGTATAAGCGCTTGATGGCTGGTTTGAAGTCGTACATCATCCTCTGGTGGGTCGTCGTCTTCATCTGCGTGGTGGTAAGCTCCCGCAAAATTGCCATCTGCCCTGCAAACACGTCCATGCTAACCGTCTTGATTAGACACTCGCTGGCGCCATCACCTCTTCCATGTTGTCGTGCTCGAGCATGAGCGCCTGGTTCACACCTGGGGCCTGCGGTACACCGCGCGACGTTCGGGCAGCCTACATTAGCTTGTGGTACTCGTACTCTGTCGATGTGTTTACCGATCTCCTGGGTGCGTCAACAAAATCTCCTGCGGCTGGATGCGGCCAGACAGCTAACGCGCGCGCTCTAGTCATGTTCCTTCCCCTCGGCCTCATCCGCAACCTCCAGATGCACTGGAGACGCAAGATTACAATCGGCGCCCTCTTCTGCCTCGGATGGGTCTGCATTGCCGTGTCGACGATCCGCGTAACATACCTGGGCCACGACAATGCCGCTGGCCAGGAGTTCAAGCAGCCCTCGACCTCTTGGCTCGCAGTCTGGGGTATCGTCGAAGCTGCCATTGGTAAGAGTCCATTGACCCGGAGGACCTGCTACAGTTGGGCTAACAAAATCGATACAGCCGTCATCATTGGATGCGGACCCGGTCTCTACCGCGAGGCCAAGGTTCTCAAGTCGGGTGGCCGCCTCACCTACAACCAAAACTACGACTACAACCCGGGTGGTGGTTACATCAAGGCCACGAGCGGCCGATCCCGCAACAAGTCTGGCAACGGGACGCTAAACGACAACGAGATGATGACCTACCCGCGTGCGACCGTGCAGATCAACAATCGCAGCGACAGTGAGGAGGACTTGTTCACCGAGCGTGGCAACAAGAACATTATGGTGACGAGGTCGGTCGTGATCAGCCAAGACGAAGATCAGCCGCACGCAAAATAGAATGAGCGATATTATTTGACTTATAGAATTGACGGGCACTTTGGATTCGTTTTTGGAACTTTGCAACTATGTCTCACTTGTGCCGATCCAAATGAACTAATGGGCTTGAACTGAGTTCTGACAGACAGCTCGAGGACTTCCAGAAACTCTCCCTCGTCGGCACGCATACCTATGGCAGAAGCAAGGCAGACAAAAATTCACAGACAGAGTCTAGCATAGGTTGGACAGACGACCCATCGACTCTGCTCTAGTCCGTACCTGCATGGCTATTTCAGGTCTGTTCTCCTGCCGGTCTCCGATCGCAATGGACTTAGCAGTCTAAATATAGCTACAATCGAGCCCTTGAGTAATAGTTGCCTGACTGCCACAGTTGCGGTCGACAGCTCACCCAGCAACGAGTATAGCTCCCCTTCTCAACTTTTCCACGTGCCCGCCCGCCTATGTTACATGACTGGCAATGGGTAAGACTTGAAGGGAATCACGGACAGTCTCCGACGGAAAGCTTACTATGCAATACCTCTTCCATGATGTAAGCTCTCGTCGTGTGCTTTGAGCTAAATATGGGCCTAGTACCAACACATATTGCGCATCCAGAGGAGTTTGGCAGTGCCTCTGCGTTCTTGGACCAATACCCCTTTTGCGCTGTGGATTGTTGCTGAGTCGAACCGCAACCAAGCACCGTGATGCCCACGTTCATTGATACCCATCGATTATCCGAAGCGGCTACACGAATGGTAGGAGGAGAAATCGGACGTCCGAGGTACATTGATCAAGCTGCTGCCCCGAGCGTTGGGAAGAGAACACGTCAAGTGCCCGCTTGTGAATATCGTACAATTATTTTCGGTGTACTGATTCTCCGGCAGCTTCTCTACAGACGTCCCCGTCTGGACTTGGAATCACACACCGTTACTGCCATTCACTGCGACCTTCCCATTACTCCCCTTCACAAAGTCGCCAGCGACGGACCGGGCATCTGCCAGATCCTTCTGCATCTCCATCAGATGCAGCACATCCCCCGAGACGACCATGAATGACATTCGCTCCGACGCCTGGCGAATCGTGTCCAGAGTACCAAACGGTGCCGAGCCAATAGAGAACCCACCGTAGGGCTTGTCATGCTTTTCCATGACCTGGAAGAACTTGTCTCTTGCGGCGAGCCACTCGGGCTCCCCACCCGAGCCGAATTGGGCTGGAAGGCCCATGCTGATACGGGCGTCCAACGAGCCCAGCCAGACAATGTCAATGTGCTCGCCGACCTCGGTCAGAATGTCGTCGAGGTTGTTGATGGCCTCGAGGGACTCGATCTGGATCATAATAGCGGCCTGGTCGTTGACAGCCGCAAAGACATCCTTGTGCGGATGGTAGGATTGGTCCGTGAGGCCAGGAATCAGTCGGAAGGGTGGCGCGGATCGGGATCCTCCAATCTTGGCGCCAAACTTGGCTGCGGATACAACGTGCTTGGCCTGCTTGACCGTGTCGACCTGGATGCCAGCGTCAGTCCGATGGAGGAAGTATGAGCGTGCGTGATGGCATGACAAACCTGCGGTACGACAATCGAGGCACCGGCGTCCAGGGCGTATCCAATGGCAGCATGGTCGTGACCAGGAACACGCACCCAGGGGATGGTGTGGCCTTGGCTCATAAAGATGGCCTGGTGGACCATTTCGGTCATGGTCTCGACATTGCACGACGTGTGTTCCCAGTCGACCCAGACGCAGTCATAATTCATGGGCGCGAGCATCCGTGTGATGGGCACCGAGGAGAGACCGGCGTAGTAGCCCAGCAGAGGGCCAATCTTCTTCTCGTGGGCGTCCCGGATGGCCTGGCGCGCGTGGTGCGGCTGAAAGAGCGAGGGGGCCGCGTACGCAAGCATGCCCTTTTCCGGGACGTTCTTGTACATCTCTGTGACCTCCACCATGGCTGCGGTTCCTTATGTCGTGTATGAAGGAGACTGGAGAGAAGGTGAAGATGATAATGGAAGGAAAACAGAGACAGCGCGTTTCTTATAATCCTCCCTTTGCCGAGACGTGGGATGAGGGTCCGTCCGACAGCTGCATAAGTATTTTAACTTCGCTGTGACCTTACTCATTCGTTCCCCAGTCATGCGCGTTTAGCTCCATGATCCATGGGATTAAACCCTCCCGGGTCGATCCTTTTCGGGCCTCCATGTCGATCCCCACGCGCGCTAACTGCAAGCTCTTGCCTGTCACGGTGGCCAGCGGTGGTCGTCGACTCGTCGTCTCCCAAGCGGAGTATCAGGAGGCGTTTCGCTGCCGAGATTCCACTCATGCTGCTCCGTGAGACCAAGTTACATGTAATATTCGTCGCACCACCAGAGGATGTAAGCACTTGTCGCTGTGTGCTGATAGTTTGTGGCGCCGTGTGCAGATGTGGAAACGGCGGCACATGCTAATGGACAGCGTGAGCTTTGTAGAAGGAAGAAAACTGTGTTTTCACAGTGGCATTTTCCCCAATTCGACATTCGTGATGTCGGGGCCCCTGTCCGGCTCCGTCCCGCCTCATTTCCGATTGGGACGGGACAGCGCCGTAGCCCGTAGCCGAGCTGCAGGTGCATCCTTTTCAGGGCTTGGTGACAGATTCCGACGGTATTGAGTGGAGGTCAGTGAAGCAGGACGGGTTGGATGCTCGTCCGGTAGTTGTAAGATATAATAATGCGTTAAGGCCGCGGGCAGGACCAAGGTCACATCGTGGATTGCGCTACCCATTGAGTTACTCGTATGTCGCCAAATGACAACGCACAATAAGGCGTGAAACATCTCGTGCGTCGATGAATCGCCTTTCACCTGTTTATAAGATCGTACTCCGTGCGGTGATTACCTGATTGCCCTATACTCACGACGGCGACACCGTCGAAGCAGGAGATACACAAACTTAGGTCTAGATGTGCGCGCAAGGATCTTGATACTATGGAATACTGTATTTTCGATCGCTTCATTGTTAGCACAGAAGTAATTTGCCACCTGATTTCACTCCATTTGTTTTAAGTTAGGACATGTGCACAATGGTGAAACGCCTCGTTCGAGCCATGCCAACATGTTTCAATTCCACCCAACATCAACTACGCGTAGCCTCATACAGCTCACGAATCTTTTGCCAGAGACGCAGCAAAACATATTCCCTCTATTCATCAATGCTGATGATTAACCATGATAGTTCGTACACTTGAGCCCCGCGTACAAGACACCATCCATGGTCGAGCCCAAGACAGCACTGCTGCTCAAAGACAAGCAAACAAAGATACACACATTCACGGTCTGAAGATTCGAGGCCTGCTTAGTTGCAAGATTTTTTTTCATTCTGGGGTGCAACTATGTAATGAGTGTGGTGGTGGTGTCCAACGAATGTACCCTGTTGATGTGTCCTTTTCGTTCTCCTCGGTTACATGTACTGAGCGAGCGGCAGCAAATGGTCGCATCATGAGCCTTTTACAGCTCATTCTGCTTCTTACGGACGTCAAAGATGCGGAGAGCCTCCTCAGCAGCCTTGACACCGCTCAGCGCCATCGCGCCAAAGGTCGGACCTGTTTGGTGTTGTCAGTACAAATCTCCCAATATGACCTCTCAAGGCTGTGCGTGGCTGAACATACCCATGCGGTTGGCACCGTCGACCTCGGAAAGCTCCATGCCTCCGACAATCAGGCCGGGGACAATCTCCCTGGTTCCCTTGACAATGGCGTCCTCGGCCACGTTCATGTCCAGGCCCCTCATGCCACCCAGCTTCTCAATCCTCTGCATGCTGACCAGTCTCTTGACGCAAAAGGCGCCCATGGGACCGTCGTGACCCGTCGTCGAGATGATGACAGGCGCGTTGATGGTGTTGGGGTCCATGCAGGACTGATCGTCGTGGTGCATACTGACGAGGGTCCAGTTGGTGACGACACCAGCGATGCGTACACCCTCCTCGGCGGGCCGGGTGATCAGATCCTCCACGCAGGTGGCATTGAAGAGCTTCACGTTGGGAAAGGCGAGGACCTTGGACAGCAGAGTCGAGGTGAAGAGTGCGGCGTGCTTGACGACGACGTAGTCGCCCTCATCCTCGTACTCGACGCCGACTTCGCGCAGGAAGGCATCGGCTGGCTTGCGCATGACCATGGCGCTGAAGAGCTGGCCACCGAGCCAGGCACCGCCACCAGGGGCGACGCCAGCCTCGATGATGGCAATCTTGAGGTCAGGGCGAGCGCGTGCCAGGACAAACGCCGTGCTGAGACCGCACGAACCCGCGCCGATGATGACAATGTCCGACTCGGCGTGGGTGTCGAGGTCGGCAAAGTAGCGGCGGGTCATGGCGCGCGAGACAGTAGACTCGCGGATGGGGTTGAAGGCGAACGAGTCCCAGTTGTTCTCCATCTCGGCAATGGTCGTCTGCTTCGCATTGCCTGTGCTGGCAGGCTTGGACGCAGCCGTCTTAGCGATGATGGGTTGGGCGTAGTCCCGAGTGGGGGAGATGGCAGCGGGAGGGCTCATGGTTGCGGATGATCTGCAAGACCGATTAGACGCGAAGAGGAAAGAGGGAGGAACATGATCCTTTCGCCGGTATTATCCGGATCAAGTGAAGGCCGTATATTCTCAGCCACGCTCCCTGCCTTCTGCGTCCTCTCCCCGCTGCTCGGTACACCCTGGTGGTCGACAACGACCACTATTCGGGAGACACGAGTGCTTGGGTAGTGGGAGAGGATGATATGCAGAAGACGAAAGAGCGGGCACCGGCTCATGCATCAGACATTACCTGATGGGGAAGATTGATCATTGCGGATAATTGCTGTGCTGCGACGAGGAGACATGGTGGCGGTGGTGTTCAATGTACCCTCAAAGGGGTCAGTGACGTCTCTCACGGCATGGTGTATACAAACTGAAATTCCTGAAGGAATGGATTTGGTTTGGTGATAATATCGGTCAAGAGCTTCGATCAAGTTACTTGATAGCAAGAGTTTGGAAGAGGTGGGAAGTTGGAAGCTTTCAAGTCGAGCTGGCTTCACACATATATACGTACGACGACAATCAAGTGAGGGGTCGGGCCAATCAAGCACAGGAACAAATCATGATGATTGAATTACAATTATTCGCAAATGGTGTGGCAGAAGAGCACGAAAGCCGGATATATCCCGCATCGACGACAGCCGGACAGCGGCAGCCGTCAAGAGCTGCTCCGGTAACGGCGCAATGGATCCAGTCTTAGGGCATGCGCACATGTGCGAGCCTGGTTCGATTTGTTTTGCCGAGTTCAAATTGACAAAGTGACGTTGTTTGGATATTTATATCTTGCAAACCAGCGTGCCGGACGATTTCGAGCCAGCGAGGAGACGGACCACGTGAAATCATGGGAGCCCTGTTACGGCGGGATATTAGATCACAAGGTGCCAACGGTATCAACCCCCGCAGTGCAACGACACCACACCGGTAGCCCCTCCCACACTTTATAACCTACATACTTTTTAACATACCGCCACGAACGAATATCGAAGATTATTAGGCCTTAATTTTAGATACACGCAATAAGGGCCTTTTAGCGACTTAGATTCTTAAATTTCTAAATAATACGATCGTTAGTAACGGTGGGAATACTATATTAAAAATCACGCTCAAAAGAGCGCTAGCATTATAGACTACCCCTCGTCCAACAGCCCGCTAGACCCTAACTATCTTAGAAGACTATATTTACGGCTAGTATTTCTTAAATACCCTAATTAATAATATTCTCGAAGATACTAATTTACGGCTATAAGAAGCTAGTGATCCTATTATTAGTAAACGGACCTTACTACGCTAGCTAAAGGCGTAGGGCTTAGATATAAGACACTAAGCGCTAGATATCTCGGACGCCCTAATCGATCGGATTAAATACCTCTTCTTTAACTTCGGGCTATCCGATATATCGATTCTGCGGGAGCTTTATTAAGGAGGCTTCCACGCCTACCTCTCGGCTATAAAGAAGGTCCGCTAGTAGCACGGTATAAAACGCCGGGTTAGGACCGTTAAAGAACAATAAGAGAGGCTCGATAACGCCGTCGAATTCCTCTACCAAGACCTCTAGAGGAGCGGCGCGGCCTTAAGCTTTAGTAAGGGCTTGCTATACTAATATATTCGTTAGAAGGGGCAAATTATAGTCTTATAGCGCCGTCTATACGATATTTATCGGGCTGCTTTTCTAGAGGAAGTCGCTAGCCGCCGCGATAGTAACTTCAAGCAAAGAGGCGACTTTCGCGTGCCCGGACCGAACTTCTTATAGTCCCTCGATAGCTATAAAAAGCTTAGGAAGGTCGGCTTCTAGATTTACGGTTATATCGACGCCTATTCCCGCTATATTATATAGTTTTATGTGGGCCGATTAGTAATAATATCTCTTAGCACGTTAAAATAATATCTTAAGGCCGTCCGGCGCCTATAAAAGCGGCCCTTTTTCACGAGATCTAACCACGATATAAAGACGCCGCTGTGGGCAGCGGCGCAGGCGTCACTCGCTAAAGCTAGCCCTAAGAAAGTTAAATATACCGATAAAGATAGAAATATTTATTATTATGCCCAAGGCGATCGGCTAGATAGCTATTATTTATATAGCCTAAGCATAAGGAACGTAAGGATCGAGTCTTAGTGGCGGTAGCTGCGGCGTAGCGTTATAGACCGCTAGATTATCTTCTTTAACGAATTAATCGGCTATAGCCTCTTCCGCGAAGATAGCCTCGTCGATTAGGTAGCCGTCTACGCTATCTACGGCGAGATAATCCGCGATAAACTTACTAACTTTATTTATCTATAGAATAAGTATATTATCCGTAACTAAAAGAACCGACCTAATGTTAGATCTAGTATACTAAGGGATTTATATTATATAACCGCTAACCCGGACTAGGGCGTTCCTTTCGATAATAACGACGATAGCCTATAGTAGTAGCTTCTTCGCGAAATATAGGAGCCTCTCGAGACGATAGATATCGACAGTCTGCTACCCGCCGAGATAGAGGCTTAGTGCAAGGCATAGCTCCAAGGGCTTAGCTTCGAGGCTAACCTAGCAGAAGAGGATAACCTTAAAAGGCCGTTTATTAGCTTTTATTTAAAGCTTCGCGAGATTATCGAAAAGCACTAAAATTCCGGCGTGCAGCCTATCTTAGCTATCTCATAAGTTTATACTAGTAGCGCTACCGAATACTAACGTCTATTATAGTAGAATTACCTCGACGATCTAGGCCTCTATAGTAACGCGATACCGCCCGAATTTCAGGCATAAATAAGCCAGGCTATCGAGGAAGGGGATAATATAGAATAGATCGCGAAAAGCTTTATTTTACCGCTATATAGGGTAGTATTTAAAGCCTTACGCGACGGGCCTATATATATATATATAATCCTTATACTGCTAGACCCACCGTAATTTCCCCCCTATAACACCATATAATATCCGCGAATATAGCCCTTTCCTACGTTCTTTCCCTACTAACCGGCGGTATCACATTAAACGGCAGGTCTAATCAATCTCTCACTTTCGGCTATATATTTTAACGTCTATTTTAGTAGTAGAAATACCCGAGCCACCGCTATCGATTCCTACGGTCTACGACACGCACCTATAACGCGAAAAATATAATAGAATACGCGCTACCTCCGTCGGGCTGCTCTACCCCTTCTATAGCCGGCGATAGCCTAAGCTAGTCGAGATCGACGCCCTAAATACGTTCAGCGACCCTCTAACGCCTATAACTATATATAGATCGCCGTTAATTAGCGGCTACGCGTCGTCGGAAGGTCGTAGCATCGCTAAATAAGCGCTACCCCGATCATCCTCGTTATCTTTAACGCGTGGCGATCGCCTTAATAACCTACGTGGCCATATAAGGCAGGCTATTATCGCCACAAGGCCGGCCAAGCCTATCTCGCCGTTTAAAAATCCCTATAGCCTTAAAATCCGGGTCTAGCTAGTCTATTCCACCGGTCGCAGGCTCTAAGGTAGTATCTTTAAAGCCTCGAGCTCTTTATTAATAAGTAAGCTAATTTAGATATTCTAAAATATAGCTAATTCGCCGTAGGTGGAATAGATCTACTACTTATCTCGTGGGCCGACCTTAGATTCCTTATAAAAGCCGATTTTCTAACTATATACCTTAAACCTTCTATTCTTTATAATACCCTTAAAATACTCGATAAGTCGATAATATATATCGGCACGTCCTTCTAGAAGAACGGTAAATAAGAGCCTAGGTAGTTTATATCGGTTTCCTTAAAAAATAATAGCCTTTAGGATATACTAGGCTAAGATAATAATTTCTAGTGGGCTATTAGTGATAGCCGGGTTGTCGTGTAGATTGAGCTTTAATTTATCGAAGATAGCCCTAAAAAGCCTGCCTTAAAGCCACGGAAGCCGCGGTCGAGGGCTAAGTCTATAGCGCCAAGCGAACGGTCGCAAAGGGAATTAACGCTAGCTTTAATTCGGGTTAAATCAAAGCCAAATCCAGCACCCTACGAGCCGATTAGCCTTAAAGCCTTCCTATAAGACCTAGCGGGTAGGACATATAGCGACACGGCCCTATCTAAAGCATCGGATAATATAGACCTCTTACTAACTAAGATCGGCGCCCTTAAGGCACCCGACGAAGCAACCGATAAGGCACTCGCTAGGGCACCCGATGAAGCAGCCGATAAGGAACCCGCTAAGGCACCCGATAAAGCAGCCGATAAGGCACCCGCTAAGGCACCTCATAAGGTAGTCAGGAAGAGGCTAAGGGCGCCTACAGCGGGTAGCGTTGATGAAGAGGTGCGACCTCGCCGTTCACGGCGTGAAGCTAGGCCAACCGCCCGGGCGCGGCGGTCGTGATCAAATTTATAGCTATTTACAACCTCACTTATAGCCTCACTTTATAACTAATTAAATACGAACATATATCTTGCTTAAGAACTTTAGCGCCTCCGTGATAACCACCACACGCCTTATATAAAAAATAAATACTATTATCACGAAGTCTGCTATCGCTAGATCACAGTAAATTAATTTATTTATTATAGAATTAAATTCTATGGCGTGCGCAGCTCTTTAGGTGAGGCTATAATAACGAGGGTGCGTATGTGTGTTGTGTGGTGGTTGTGCAATTGGTCATTGATACCGTTGGCACCTTGTGATCTAATATCCCACCGTACCCTGTCGAGAGTATAGCGCGCTATCGTTCGAAGGATCGGTACGGAGTAATTCGTCCGTGCATATCTTTAGAAATACGCTGACTTGATCGGATAACGTACTGCAAGCAGCTGGTTGAGCCGGCACTGTCGATGGCAGCGAGCGACTCGGTTGCCAATGCGTCAGTGCTTCACAGAGGCGACAGCTTGCCCAAAGCCCATCTTATCAATCAATTACTCAAGCCTTGCTCACGGGAGAAGAAATACCTGTAACGAATCACCTGATGCCGGATGGGTACCACTGCGGATTCGCAGGGTTCAGTCAAACAATGTTTGCATAAGGCTGTCTCCACCGTCGCCCAAGAGGGAGACGAGGCGGCCGCCCGCTGCAGCGAGCATGAACACCTACTTGACGGATACACATGGCATGTCATGTAAAGCTCTGACCTCCGTAATTAGAGACTCAGGAGGCAGAGGTTGCATTGATCATTTAGAGGGCGGACTCAACGCAACCCAACGCAGATGTTGAGCTTTAATGAGACGGCCATGACACTCATGAGAGGCCGCGATTATACAATTCCGTTCAGCCTTCTGGACGATCCGCAGGCAGGGTCCCTGTCATTGTCAAGGGCAGTCCCCGCTGACGTTTGGTCGCATATCAACAAAACTGTACGCAAGTGTCCATAGTGGATCGTGTCTTCGGCGCTCCCCTACCTATTCGTCTCTCAGCCCGGCACTAGGTACTGGGAGCAAGCTGTCACCCAAGCACGTGAAGCAGAGCACTGGTGACCGCCAGAGTAATCAACCAGTCTTGCTCAAGAATCTAGGGATGCCAGACGACGAGTTAGGTGCTAAGCTGTCCTCGCCCCAGACGAGGATCGATATCACTTGCGCCAGTACACACAAATGACTCGTGGATTACATACTACGTAGTAGTCAAGATCCCTTGTCACTCTAGCTAACGACTGTGCCATTAACCGAGCACATTATAATTATGCTCAGCCCCCATTGTATCCACTGTGATATACCGACTTGGGCTAACATCACTGTCAAACGTGCAGGGCACGGCATGCCAGCTGTCACCGGTACTCTGCCCCTCGGATAATATCTGTTTCTGTCACTATGTAGCTCACAGAAGTCGGGCGTAGGAATCTCCGCTCCTCTTGTGGCTATTATCCGTCAAAGTGCAAAGCCGTTGTCGCTGCATCGAGGCCTCGATGCAGTGTTCATGACGGGGGAGATTGCCCAGCCTGGAACGAGTGGACCTTCAAAGCGTAGGGCTGAGTTTGTTCAGCCTCATCAATTTCCCTCAGTCTTATCTTCGGGGAGGCATAATAGCGTGTATGAAGTGCTGTCCTCTTCGAGTCAGACCTCCTAGGTGGCGCATTCAGTCTGCCTTGTAGAGGCACTCGTCCAAGGGCAAGGTGGCATTCGATTACTGGTCCCGACTCCCGAGGTCAATTCCCGGCAAGACAGGGACGTGCATGTATGATTATGTTTATTATTATGTCTCTCAGAAATCCGGAAGCATACAGTGTGCGTCTCATCACCAACGCGCAGACGCATTGGTGCGTCCGAAAGCCTTGCTGGACATGAAGCCACCAACGGGGTGATTGTGTGTTATGCCCGTGCCTCGACCCTGGCACGGTGCTCCGTGTCCGCCGCAATCCTACGTAGGCAGCAGGAAAACAGCTTCTGCGCGCTCAGTCGCTTCATGCTCTCGGGGGACCCGGCGGTCGAGGTCGTGAAGAGCGAGGCCCGAACATACTTGACCTCAAAGCAAGGATCCTGCTTTCCACTTCACAGCGAGAAGCCCAACCCCTGAGCCCCCCTTATTGTGGATAGAGGGCTGTAAAACCCGAGATGGGCGTGCTGTGCCCACCGAGATCTCCTGTTGTGGCTGTCTTCTATAAGACTTGACCGCGTCCACGATATTCCAGTCATGCTGAGAGAGTGCTAAACCAGTAATCCCCGTCTTTCTTTCACATCCCAACTGGATTACAACCGCTCTTTACGCAGTAGATATGCATTCGTCTTTCGCTTCCCTATCTGCCCTTGTTGGGGTGGCACTGGCTGCCCCCAAGGCCGACATTCTTGGACGAGAGTTGCTGGACATTCAGTCTCGTGGTCTCGTCGACTTTGTCCAAGATTTTTCCGTCAACTGGGTTCCCGATGACCCGGAGCTCATCTCTGGGTAGGACTCCCTTCTTGCTTTTTGGCACACTGTGGGCTTTTTGCTGACCTGCCCCAGCTCTTTCGACGATGGCGAAGTGACCTTTGCCGTCACTTGCAACGACTGCTGGGTTGACGCGCCCGTCACGGTCGACATCTCTCCAGGACTTGTGTTTCTAGACACGGGGGCCACCGTTACTTTTGGAGAGTCACAGGGCCGCTTCGACGTTACGTTCAGCGCCGAGGGGGGCACGACCGAGTCTGTCAACCTGTTCACTTCCCACACGCCATTTGGCTCAGAGGTACGTGGTAGCTGGACCCTGCCGGGTAGTTTGCCCTCTCTCAAATCATTGCTTACTATTGATGGTGGCAGGGTGACAATTACCAAGTGGGAGCTGTCCTCAAAGTCGACCTGGTCTTCAGTGTCGACGCCGAGGTTGAAGTGGAGGGAGGGTTCGAGTTCCACATCCCTGATGGCTCTTACATGAGCTTCAACAGCGATGAAGAAATTGTCGGCGCCAAATTGTGAGCCTTTCAAGAAACGAACGATCCACACCAGTCGACGAGGAAGCTAATGTGTACATAGCGACGGCTTCACGGTCGACAGCTTCCTCAACCCTCTCCAGTTCGATGTCAATGTTACGGTTGCCCTGCAGGTCTCCTTGGAGGTCAGCCTTGGTATTGGCTTCGATGATAAACTCGAAACTGGAGCTGGTTTTGGCGCCTTCCTGAACGTGCCCGAAGTTCACGGTCGTGCCCAGTCCACCGAAGACTGCGCCCTCGAGGCGTCTGTTGACTGGGAGATCAAGGCCGGTGCGTTTGCCTGGGCTGGCTTTGAAACTGGAGACGACGCCGAAGAGAACGACTCTTCCCCTGGTTTCGAAGAGGGAGATGACGCCATGGCTACGACGTCAGTTACCGCAGCGTTGGGCGGCCAAGTCGTCGATCCCACCTGTCTCTACGACGCCCCAGACACGACGTCCATCTTGGTCAGCAGTGCTCCTCTCCCCGTCGTGACGACCAGGATCGCAGTCAGCGGCGCTCCTCCTCCTGACGCCACGACCGTTGTCATGGTCAGCGGCGCCGACCCCCTGACGCCGTCCATCACCATGACTCCTATCATGTCCACCTCTGTCAGGCACGCGGCGACATCCTCCTGGGCCATCAACAACTCGACGAGCCCAACGACCGCCCCTCCAGCCATGCACACGACGACTGTCTCGACCACAAAGGTGCACACCGTCACCAAGTGCGCCGCCCAGGTCATCCACTGCCCGGCCGAGTGGCAGCAGGTCATTGTCGTCACCGAGGTGGTGGACCTGTTCACCACCGTCTGCCCCATTGGCGAGACGCCCACCTTCCAGACCCCGGAGCCGACGCCTGTCAAGACCACGCATGTGCTCTCCAACCCCAACGGTCACGCAACATACGTGCCGTATGCGGAACCCAAGAACAGCACCTTTACGCCGCCTGCTGACCTTCTGCCTCCTGCGGTCCACACGGTGACACTGACCCAGAGTGTCCCGCTTCCCACCGAGGACGTGGCCTCCCAGACAGTCGTTGTAGAGTACGTGCAGGAAACGACATCCATCGCCTCGCAGGCCCCCAATGCCACAAGCACGCCCTCCGTCCCTGAGCTCGGCAGTGCTGCGACCCTGCAGGGCTCAGTTGCCGGTGCGGCCCTCGCGTCCGTGCTTGGCCTGTGCCTGCTGTGGCTCTAAGCCTGGGGTTAAGATGCAGCGTGATCCAGAGGAGGGCCCTGATGTCTGAGGCTACCACTGATGACTTTAAGGGCACCTTGGAGGTCGCGCTACTTGACGATGGGGATTCGGCATGGGACAACGTCTAGCGCGAGGGCTACCGGTTCTCCTATAATAGAAAATTCAGATAGTAGCGTGAAGGCAATGACATTTACCAGGAAGTCATACATAGGGTAACATTGCCATGTTCTAGGCACGGATGGAACACATAGCTCGCTACTACAATGCAAAGCACTTCCTCTCTGATCTGGCGCTGTGACCCGCAAGACTCATGCATCAATGACCTCCTTGACTGTCCTCACAAACTGAGCCACGTCGTGTCCGAACCTGCCCAGAAAGAGGCCATCGACACCAGAGCTCAGCCTCTCAAACAGTCCAGGGCCAGCACTGCCTCCATACACAATCCTCGTGCTGCCTCGCCTGTTCTTAACGCTGTCCAGGTTCCTGATACCCGCAACGACATTCAGAATGTGCTCCTCACCAGCAGGCTGACTCGCGCCAATCGCCCAGACAGGCTCGTACGCCAACACGACTTCTGCCGCGTCGTCTACAGCGCTCATGACCGCGTCGATTTGCACCTGCACCTCGTCCACCGCCACGCGGATATCACCCTCTGTCTTCTCGCCAATGCAGACCAGGGGGACCATGCCGTTCCTCGCGACAGCCGCGGCCTTCTTGGCGGTAATGTCGTCGTCCTCCCCAAACAGCCGCCGCCTCTCGGCGTGGCCGACCTCGACAATCTTGACGCCCACATCCCGCAGCACCGAGGGGCTGACCTCGCCCGTGTACGCGCCGTGGTCCTCCCAGTGGGTGTCCTGCGCGCCCAGCCAGACGTCCGAGCCGGCCTCCTTGAGCTGCTGCGCGGTGGGCACGAGGGTGACAAAGTCGGGGATGAGGAAGATGTCGACGGGCGGCGGTGAGGGTAGCGAAGAGAGAGCGGTCAGGAGGGCGGATGTGTAGGTGGACGTCTTGTCGAGGGAGAAGTACATTTTGGACGAGAGTCCGATGAGGCGGCGGTTGGAGGTCGTCATTTTGAGGTCTGACGGAGAACGATCCGACTTGAACTTCAATTGGCAATGTAGGAGAAGTTTTGTATAGGTTGGTCGAGTTGGTCTTGGTCGCTGGTTGCGTCGAGTGTCGAAGGAGACAAGATGGACATGGACGCATCCCACTTCGAGAGCTCCAGCAGCAAACAATTGTGTAATTACCCCACATTCATTAACAAAGCTTGTGACTGGGACAATATTTGGGGTTCTACGGAGTAATTAGTCTAGCTATATCGGGGCTTTCGCCGATCAGGGTCCGGCGTGGCCGGGCTGGCCAGATGAGGGAATCCGACGATCCGTGGCGTCGGCATCGGTGCCTGGGCGACCCAGGTCGAGACATCTTTGTAGCAAGGGGAGGTTCTATCAGTGACTGGGCGCGATCCTGTATTTGACCAGAGCTCGTGATTGCTATTGCTGCTCCGTACGCGAGTTGAGGGCATGTGTACGACAGCGATGAGGCTGCAGGGTAGGTAGATTGACATGGAAAAATAATGGCGAACGCTGCAACACGGACAAACCCAATTGAAGGAATACAGGAAGAGAAGTCGCTTTGATCACATTATATAGAGAACCCTCGTCTATGTTTACTCTGTCTACCCATTGCGACCTCACATGTCCTTCTCGAGCGCCGTGATCTCGTCCACCTTCTTGGCGCTCGCGCTCTCCGGGTCAAACACATGGTCGAGCCAGTCGCTCGCGAGCTTCCTCGCCAGCTCGATGCCAATGACGCGCTCGCCCATGCACAGGACCTGCGCGTTGTTGCTCTTGACGCTGCGCTCGACGCTAAAGGGGTCGTGGGCGGTCACGGCGCGGATGCCCTTGATCTTGTTGGCGGCAATGGCGACGCCCAGGCCGGTGCCGCAGATGAGGAGCGCACGATCCGCCTCGCCCGAGGCCACCTTGCGTGCAGCGGCGGCGGCGCGCGTGGGATACGGTGTCTTGTCGTCGCTGCCGTGGGAGCCCACGTCGACGACGGCCTTGACGCGCGGGTCGGCCTCAAAGTCGGCCTTGATCTTGTTCTTGTAGCCGACGCCAGCGTCCTGATGTTGTCAGATGTTTGTCCAAGGCCACTGGGGGGACAACTTGAGACTCACGTCACAGGCCATGGCCACAGTCCATTGAGGTGCCATTGTGATTGATGTGTATGTGTGTTTGTGATGCTAGAAGTTGAAGTGGAATGTGAGAATCAAACGAGAAGAAGCCTTGTCCAGCAGCAGAAACGATGATATCAAATTACGTAGCAATTAGCAGCAGACTAACGTCAACAAACCTCGTCTCGCCACCCCAAAGCAGCAACCCGATGTGAATCTCCTCGTCACGCGGCCCAATTATTTTGTCTCGAGGGTCGAGAAGAAGAACTGAGTGGACTGTTCGCGGCGGAGCTGCCGCATGGCTCCTCAGTATCGGCCAACCAGCCGACCTCGACACGCGCTCCCTCTTCCCGTCCATCCACCCTCCTCTAAGCTTGCTGAGCTCCATCAACGCTTTCTCTCCACCATTTCCTTCCCTCGACCCCTCCTCTACCCCTCCATGCCCCTCCATCTCCGTCTCGAAGGGACGGTGAATTGAACCGGCCATGCCTGATAGGGCAACCCGAGCCTCCCTCCCCACATGGAGCACAGGGACAAGAGTCCATCCCCATCCAGCCCGTGCCTCCATGGGTGACAGACGAATGAGTGCGATGCTGGCGTCTCGGGGGTGGACAGCCAGAGGGGCAACCGCAAGCGCCGAGTCGCGCGCGCAGTGTCGCTGCTGCCCACGTATCCCAGAGAATCGTGAACTCGAGAAGTCGCAAACAAACTTCTCGTCCACCGTCTCTTGTCCTGCTAGTTGCTGCTGTCCGACCACGGAAGGCCGAAGCTCAAGCTCCCCACATCCTCGTCTACTGCACAGTGATTTCTCCTCCATAAGCGGCGCGTTCCCCATCCCCATCCATCGCAGCTCATCCTCTGTCTGCCCCAGCCTCTGCTCCTTGTTCTCTTGCTGTTCTTCTTCTCCTCGTCACTTCTATTAATCTCTAATCGCACCGACTCCCAACGCACATAGGCGCCATGTCCAAACGCCACCTCTTCACCTCGCCGGACGGGCTCGTCCCCAAGTCCCTGCGTGGCTTCATCACCTACAACCCTTCCCTCTCTCTCGACCCGGATAACCGTATCGTCTTCGACACAACTCACCCCAAGTCCAATGTGAGCATCATCTCCGGCGGCGGCTCTGGTCACGAGCCCGCCTGGGCCGGCTACGTGGGCGAGAACATGCTCGCGGCCGCCGTGCAGGGTGACATCTTTGCCTCGCCCAGCACGAAGCAGATCTTGGCCGGCATTGAGAGCGTGCCGAGCGACAAGGGCACTATCCTCGTGGTGACAAACTACACGGGCGACTGCCTGCACTTTGGCCTCGCGGGTGAGAAGGCCAGCGCCGCTGGCAAGAAGACCAAGATGATCATCTGCGGCGACGACGTGTCCGTCGGCAAGAAGAAGGGCGGCATGGTCGGGCGACGAGGCCTGGCTGGACAGATTGGCGTGCTCAAGGTCATGGGCGGTGCAGCCGGCCAGGGCGGCTCGCTAGACGAGGTCTACGATCTTGGTGTCGCCTTCTCGGAGCAGATTGTCTCCATCGCCGCGACGCTCGACCACTGCCACGTCCCCGGACGCACAGAGCACGGCATGCTCCAGCCCGACGAGGTCGAGATCGGCACCGGTCCGCACAACGAGCCTGGCTACCAGAAGCTCAGCCCTCAGCCCACGCCCGAGTCCCTCGTCGGCTCCATCCTCAAGTACACCCTCGACCAGAACGACCCGGCGCGCGCCTACGTCAAGTTCAACCCGGGTGACGAGACCATGCTGCTCGTCTCCAACTTTGGCGGCATGTCTCACCTCGAGATGGGCGCCCTCGTGGACGAGCTCCTCAACCAGCTCGAGGCTGACTGGAACATCACCCCGGAGCGCGTCGTCTCGGGCTTCCTCGAGACCTCGCTCAACGCACCCGCCTTTAGCGTCTCTATCATCAACGTCACCGCGGCCGCCAAGAACTGCAGCTACTCGGTCGAGCAGATCAAGTCCTTCTTCGACGTCCGCACAACCACCGCCTGGGAGTCCGTGGCTGGCTCGCAGGCCAAGCGTCGTCCTCGCGCTGAGCAGATCGTCAAGGCCCCCAAGGAGCCCGCAAAGGTCGTCGACGAGTCGCGGGATCTCAAGGTCGACCCCAAGGTGCTCGCGAGCATGCTCCGCAAGGCGTGTGAGGACCTCATCCAGGCCGAGCCCGACCTGACCAAGTGGGACACCGTCATGGGCGATGGCGACTGCGGCGAGACGCTCAAGACGGGCGCTACATGCCTGCTCGCCGCGCTCGACGGATGTGTGGCCCAGTCCGGGTCCGTGGTCAAGGTCCTCCATGAGCTCGAGGACATTGTCGAGAGCAAGATGGGCGGTACGCTGGGCGGCATCCTCGGCATCTTCTTCGTCTCGCTGCGCGCCGCGCTCGAGGCCAACATTGACAAGGCCTCCCAGGGTCTCGAGCCTCTCTGGGGCATCGCCCTCACAAACGCCCTCGCCAGCCTGCGGCGCTACACCCCGGCCAAGATTGGCGACAGGACCGTCATGGACGCCCTGATCCCCTTTGCCGAGACCATGTCCAAGGCCACCTTTGCCGACAGCGTCAAGGCCGCTGCGGACGGTGCCGAGGGCACAAAGACCATGACCCCCAAGCTGGGCCGTGCCACCTATGTCGGTGCAGGGTCGGGTGATAGCGGCGAGCTGCCCCCTGATCCCGGTGCTTGGGGCGCCAGGGTCGTCATTGAGGGTTTGCTGGCTGGTATGAAATGAGGACAAGGGCTCAGAGTAGCATGATATCTATTCATTACAGGCATTAATTGTACAAGCATTAACTATCTGAGGCATTTAACAGTGAATTTCAGCGCAAACACTTGACTGCTATGGACAGCTGGTGGGCTAGGTCAGAATGGCCGTGGACAATGGCCTGGACCAGCTCCTGATGTTCACACCCCATGTCCTGTAGGTCTGATGGCCAGGGTCCAGTTTAGACTCATCGTAGCGTTGGCTTGTCTATATCTGACTGTCGAGAGCCGGCAGCCACGGAGAGGGAGCACAGGATGAGGTCATTCGTCGTGGCGCCATCTACACGTATCATCGGGGAGAAAAGGTGCCATGATCTCACAATGACTACTGGTCTTGGACCATCGCAGGATAGGCAAGTTGTGTGAGAGGATACTAAAGGCGGATGCTGGCCCTTACTGTCACATCCAGTTAGTTCTTGGCGTCCTACTGCATCTGCTCATCGCTTCAGACTCCATTGAGCTTACTTGGGCTCAAAGCAACAGGCAATGAAGATCATCGCGAGCGGCGAAGAGAAGGAGTACTACGACTCCATCATATCATCCGGGGCCAAGGCTGGCTTGTGTGGCCTCGCCCTCGGCGTCGCAGCCATGGCAGGGCTGCATTCGTGGTATCCGCCATTCAGACAGCTGCCTCTCTATATCAAGAGCACTTCGGCCCTCTATCCCGGCATGGTTGCGACGAGCATTGGTGCCAGCCACGCATCCCATAACTACCAGTCGCGGCTGCACCCGCAGGCGCAGGAGTATATACGCGAGGTCAAGCGTCAAGCCAAAGAGGCACACAAAAAGGAGCCAAGGAGCCAGCGAGAACGGGAATGGTTGCACAAGAATCAGTATTACATCCTAGGCGGGATATGGGCGTCTACCATGGCCTTCAGTCTGGCGCGGATGCGGCATGACCATTTCACCACGGGGGCCCGAAAGCTGGTCCAGGCCCGCGTCACGGCGCAGGCATCGACGCTCGCTGTGCTGCTCGCGACAGCGGCTATTGAGTTCAAAGAAAGACAGGAGAGAATGGGGAAATTCCAACCAGTCGTCCTTGTCCATAGTGAGGCACCGAGGGGGGGCCAACCCCAGGAGAAGAGAATACCGTAGCTTACATGTATACTATGGAGAATACTACGAGTCCCAAACTCACTCGTTGGTGATAGAAATTGATTGAATGAGGTCTCACTTGAAGGGGGGCGACGGCTGATCACTTATTCAATGAAATGCATTCATCAATTTCTTACTTTCACGTTCGTAGCAGCCCGAAGCCCCTTACTAGCCTCCCTTGCAACTACCTCACACCGCCCGTCTCTCACCAGGACCCTCCAAGATCAGAAATAGTAAATGCGGTCCATACATTGGCCATGTGTCTTTTAGTGAAGCCCGCCGCAGTGTGGCCCATGCTGTGCCATGCCACAGCCGAACGCGGGCCTCCAGCAGCCATGGTACATGTACGGTGAACACGAGGCGTAGCCGCATTGAGGCGCGTGATGCGGACCCAGACCCCACCATGGCAATGGCATATGCTGCTCCGGTGTCTCCATGTTGCTCATCGGCGGCCCATGGTGCATGCCGCAGGAGTGTTGTCCCATGGCGCTGCAGTTGCGGCAGCGGCAGCAGCAACATGGTCCGCCGGCCGTGCAGGGTGCGGACTCGCCATGCGCATGGTGCCCCGGATGAACAGTGGAAGGCGGCGTCTTTTGGGTAGCGGAAGAATCTGTTGGAGAGTCATGGTCTCCGGTAGAAGGGTTATGTTCGTCCTTGCTCGACATGTCTTGGTGTTGCTTGTTTTGTCTCGAGAATAGGTGGAATAGTGTCAGGGGGCAATGAAAAGGGGATATGTTATAGTTCAATTGGGAGAAAACCTTTCTTGTTATATATTCATGGCCGCCTACTCGATGTACAGCATTACAAACCCACAGAGTTCCCCGTCTTGAAAGACGTCATGATGAAACAATGCTGTAGTACGTGTACCCTTTGGCTGGCTCAATGGTAGGGCTGCTGCAAGCTGGAGGGGAGAGTCTCGTGCGATCGGCATCTTCGGAATCCAAGACTTCATCCAGAATGTGGACGTGAAAGTGAACGTGACCGTTGGAATACGTAACAGATGTTGTGGAGGGTGCGGACGGGTTGTTGAATGGGCTGCAGGCCCCTAGAACTTTGTAGGTCGCAGGCTTCTTCTTCCAGTCCACAACACCATCACCAAAAAGAAAACCCATGGGGGTCCAGTCGTGTACAGTAGTTCTCGCATAATTAGTCTCTCCGAAATCGTACCATGTCCAGTTGTTCAGATGTGATCTTAAGTGTATCATAGACAGACAACCCCCTCTCCACATCTAGACCTCAAACAAGCCCCTCGTCCATCCAAATCTCTTGCCCATTCTCTTCGCAAACATCCTCATATCCGCCAGGTTGATGGTCGGTTCATGCGGCCGATGCAAGTTGATCCGCATGCCCACCGGTTTCCCACCCAGCGGCTCGACGAGGGAAAAGGCCACGCCGACCCCCCACAGTTGGTGGCGGTAAAGCGTAGATCACCCATGGCCGCGACAAACTTGTCCCACGGATACGTCCGGCCGCTCTCTTCCGCCGTCGTCGGGTACAAGTGCCGGATCAGGTCGTAGGCCCTCCTCGTCGTCTTGATCTTGGCGACCTCGACATGGTCGACAGTGTGGAGTTTCTCGTCCTCTTCCGCCTCATGGTCCGTATCTAACGTCAGATTGAAGACCATCTTACGCAGCTCCTCGTCAAGTTCAGCGTCGGTTCGCGTCTTTGTCTTGCTTTTCCTGACGGGCATCTTGTTCCGTCCAAAGACATGGGTGCTAGACCGCGGGATATGTACCACCTTGCGCTCAGTCTCTGTCTTGATCTGCATCTCGAGAGCTGCGCGCTCCAGACGGAGTAGTTTGACATGGTCAGCCTGGGCATGGTGATCCAAAAAGTCAAAGTCGGCGTCTGACACCACGCCACGCAGGAACAATGCGTCGTTCTCGAAAAAATGCTCGCGCAGATTCGTCCACAGCGTCCCAAGCAGCTCATGGCTCTTTTCATGGTACGCAAGCCAAGCCGATGGGTTGGAGCGCTGCGGTAGGGTGAGCAGCTCAAAGGGCTCCAGAAATTCAGCGTGGATAGCGACCAGACGATCTCTTGAGCCTGCCGGCTCATTGCAGCAGAGGCACTTGCCCGGCCCCCGCCTTTCATCATTAAGAGACCATCCCGAGTGGCTGTCATCAAAGTCGAATCGCCGATTCTTTGAGATCTGTGCGCCGGCAAAATCGTAGGCGACATAGGGCCTCATGCGCTCAAGGCTGATGGCGATTTCGTGGGCGCCCGCCATGCTCGAGATGGTCCGGTGAAGCTGCGGGGAGACAAAACGCTTTGCCCGGTTCTCGGGGACGTTCATCAGCTCCTCGAACATGGTGAAGAGGAATGTATAGTCCACTTTGTATCCGTCGTGCGGTGCGCGGAGCATGCTACTCACACACCAGTATAGAGGTTCATACTCGAGCATATGTGCCGGGCACTGTCCACGTCTGTTGGTTCTCTTTACTTGGGGTTGGGGGTTGTTTCCAAGAAAAACATTTTCAATCCGCATATCAGCCACGACACTGCTGGAGCAGAGCTGAATGTACAGCCTGACGAGGCCGCCTAGGTGCACAATGTCCGCCACAACCTCTGCGGTGAAGGTGGTCGTGGAGGGGGCGACGATGTCGCAGAGGCGATACAGGACATTGCATATCTGCACCATGATGAGATACGTATGAATCTCGCCCTCAATCAGCTCAGCCATCTTCGCCGGTCGAGGCCTGCGGCTTTTCCAGCAGGCTTCACAGTAACATTGGTATTAGAGAACCCCCAGATGCTGTCGCATGTAGGCAGGGTCACACTGCAGCCTCTCAAAATGGCTAGAGGCCTCCTCCAGACGCGCGCAAGCATCCAAATACAGCGCTGAGAAGTCAACGTGCGCTGGGGAGCGAAAGGCTTGGTAGTAGTGTGGGGATCCTAAGGTGACAGACCCGGCCTGCTTGAATTGTAGCTTCGCTTCTTTGAGGAGATCGTCGGTGCCGCGGTGGTTCTTCAGCTCGCTGGTGCTGGCTGTCGCCAACATGTGTACGACGAGCTGGCTGAGGTAGCGCATGAGCACATATTGTGCTTCCAGGACAGCGCGCGCTCGCGGGTACCCGATGATACCAAGGGCATGAGCCTCTTCTAGACCGCAGAACATAACCTCTCCGAAAGAACCAGCCTTGACAGATACGTAAAAGGGTGCATAGACGAATGGCGTCGTCCAATGCCGCCAAGTCACGTCGGTCTGTTGGAAATCGTGGGCAAACCACTCCTGCGGCCCATGCGCTGTCCTTGCATGAAGCAGCGCGATGAGCCGATGTGGTTCCTCGACAAGGGACTCGGTGTCAAGCCATGGGAGGAGCATTGGGGAGAAGATCTCGGGAACAGGGGCGCGTATGTTGATGAGGCTGGAGAGGTACGTTCGAAGCTCTTCGGGCCCGACCGCAACGTGGGCTGGCGGGCGTGAGTAGGGATAGAGCGTGGGACAGGCCTGTTCGGTGATTGCCCTACGCTTCTTTTCGTTCCGAAACCATGCCCGGTAGACTGCATTGCCATGCTGCTCCAGAACGAGCCGCAACGCTTCCTTCATCCCCTGTGTCAGTTCGAGTAGTTCAGTCAGACGAGCTGTGGCGTCATCCAAGTTTGTCACAACACTCATGTAGTTTGCTTTCGCATAGGACTCGGTCTTCCCCTGCGTCCGCTGCTGCCTTGCCTCGTCCTGAGACACGTCTGTCGTTGTTTGTCGCCAAGTTGACAGCCAGCTCATCTCGCACACTGCACACTCGCATTCTGGCGCGATGATATTCTTTGATAGCTTGCCACTCTCGGAGGAACGCTCATCTTCGCGTATAAGGTGGTTTGACAGTGCGTTGAGCGGTGTGATGATCCGGTCCGATATGTCGCCGTTGAAGGATGTGAGCTTGGCTTCTGGGATTGGCTTGGCGATGAGGCGACAAAGCTACTAGGGAATCAGTGAAATAGACCAAGCCAGTGGCTCTCGTCGCAGCTTACCTCGCTGATAGACTCGCCCAGCAAACGTTCCCTGACTGGGTCGATTCGCGCGGAAGTCATGGTGAGAACTGGTGTACCTATGGCCGCAGTCAATCTGGTTCAATAGATAGATCCCTCGAGTCTCGAGCCTTGGGGAATCCGTGGGAGAGATGGGAGAGATAAAAGCGAACACAAAAGGTTGAGAATGAAAAAGAGCTTCAAGTGATGTGGGATGGCTTCAGCCTCAAGCCAGAAGGTCAGACCGCGTATGGCAAACAAACACAGCCACCGCACCTTGTGGATACGCTTTGTTTTCATACGGACATTGGTTGCACAAACACGCTCAATGAACACGCTAATCTGATGTCTCATTTGACAGCAGCGAATATGGGATGCCTCATGCTTCCGTCAGGCTGAACATCTTGCTCACCTCCTGCCAGTCCACCTCATCGATGCCCGTCAGGGGTAGATTCGGGTCGTTGAAGCACGAGTAGATGTTGCCCATGTCCATACTCAGGTCCATGTCGCCACCAAAGTCAAATGACCCTTCCGTCGAGACCTGCCAGTTGCCCCAGGGCTCCAGGGCGTCGAGAGCCGGCGTCGTCTGGCTGGCGTTGGTGATGGGTGTGCTGCCGTCGCCCCTTGATGACTCGAGCATCAGACTTGGTGTCTGCGCAGAGACCGAGTTGGACGCTGAGAAGGATGACCCGGACGAGGCGTCCTTGAGCCATCCCCACTCGGCAGACAGCTTGTCTGGCGACCAGACGTTGGAGCAGAACTGCTTCAGCTCGTCGAGCCGTCGCTGAGCCGTCTTGTTTCCCGTGGATGCCAGATGCTGCAGGACGCTTGCTGCAGGGCCGAGGCTGTCGGGTGGTTTGTTAAAGTCGTTTGTGTCCAGGAAACCCTTCATCACGATGAGGAAAGCAGCAGAGAATGCCACGTCTAGGTCAAAGTAGCCAAAAGGTGCTATCTCTAGTTAGAAAGACCGCGCATATCATAGTATGGACACTGTACTTACCCACGCTCGGGTCCTCGCGCATGGCAGAGAGGATGCGAATGCTTTTCTTGGCTGCTTCGCGACAGGAATGGCAGAGCCTGGTCATCATGGTCGACTTGGCCAGAGCTGGTCGATTGTTTCGCGAAGAGTTGATGCGGTCCTTCACTCTCTGGAAGATAATGGGTCGGATGCAGAGAATGATGGCCTGGAAGAGCGACAGGTACAGCGAGGCGCTTGTGCGTGTCAACCTGAGCCGGGGGCTGGAAAAGTCGATTGTGTATTGCGGAGGTATGGACTTTTCAGCCTCGTACAACCCTTGCAACGTGCTTTGGATCTTCTGCACAAGCTTTGTTTGTGAGATAGTGGCGTTTCCGTAGAACGAGGTGATGGTGTCGCCCTTGGCACGGGTGATCTGGACGCTGATGATCAGTGGCAAGGGATCTTCGAACCCACGAGTCGGTTTCGGGAGATCAGCTCTGAGCTGTCGCTCATCTGTGCCCGCCGGCATCCCCAAGGTGGTCGCTAGACACCTGTCTTGGACGTAGACAGTCCACCAAACACGTGTCCTGTGGCAGCGCTCCGACGAGACGCCGTGCTGCTCTCTAAAGGGAAGGGCACAGCCCAGTGCCAACGCGACCCTGACGGCCGAGCCGCTGTACAGATAGGCATCGTGCTTCCTGTCACACCACCGCAGGTAGAGGCACGCGAGCGCGAGAATCTCCACCGAGATGATGCCATGATACCCCATCTCGTAGGTGGGAGGCAGGCGTCTCGCAGCCTCTGCGAAGTACTGCTGTCCATGAGGGATGTCAGACAGGCTTTGAGGGCAATCGATCAACATGCCGATGGCCATGACGAGAAGGTACTGGGTGAACCAGATATCCAGCATCCGCTCATTGCGGGTGGCATCAGACGCGTAGAGCAGGTCGACATTGTCAGCAAAGGACCTTGTGTCGAGGTAGTGCTGGTGAGTGCCCATCCATGAGACGAAAACGTCAAAGAGGCGGAAGGACTCGTCCTTGGAAAGCAGCGAGGGCGATGCGATTCCGTACACCATGTCTGCGGCGCCACGCCACTGTGTGTTGTCGGCCACGTCCAACTGCTCCGTGCCCACGTTCATCGTGCTAGGCGAGACTCGAGAGCCTGCGTGCTCACGGATGATAGACCTCACCCGCGACTCGAAGGCTGGCGCAGCGTCAAGCTCGGTCATCGGGCTCTGTCCACGCTGTCCGGCGGGAGAGTCGCCTTGCTCGTGCTCCTCATGTATCGAATATTTCCGAGGCGAGCTCTCGTCACTCTCGCTTTCCTCGTCGTGGTGCGACCCATGCATCTTGGGGACTGTCGTCCCTCTTTCGCTGGCCTCCTCGTGCTCCTTGATCTTGTCCAGCAGCTTCTGGACATAACTGATCTCATCAGCCTGAGCCTGAGCGAGCTACTTCATGTCAATGAACTTACGCCTCGGAGTATCCCCTGCGCCCTACGAAGCCGAACTCGCATTCGAGTCCGCGTCGCGTGCAGGCCACGCAGGGCCGCGAGCCAGAACATTTCACTTTTCGCGATCGGCACGCATCGCAGCTAATGGCGCAACAGTCAGCTTAGGTGATAGAAATGTCATCGCACAGGGGGTTGCTCACGCATTAGCAGACCGCGTGAGGGGAGTGACCCTTGAAGAAGGCATCTTGTTGGCGTTTGTGGCGGTGGCCTATTAGGATAATTCGTGCAATCGCAAGGCGCGACACCGTGTCCAAGGCAGCAGATAAGCTTGCTCAGGCTGTCATAAAGGGAACATGAAGTCTGAACTGGGGTGAGAGGTGAACAGACTGAATGTCAAGAATGGGACATTCGAGCGATAAACCATACACCTGCGAGTGGAGGCTCTCCCATCATGGAGGTCCTGGTACGTAATTCGCACCTTCGGATTTGACGATGATACTAACTTTTTTGGCGGGCGGTATCGGAGTCATTGTCCGATCTTGTGATTGCGCTTCCCCAGATTCTAGCACCACAACCTCATGCATGTGCTGACTAGTTTGCTAGTCTACTGGCCACTACGTGTCTCACTTATCCTGCAGGGACTTTCCAAGCAAGCCATAGTCGTACGGTTCACGCTCGATGGTTTGGACTGACAGTGATGGAATCACTGGAGGCTGGCCACATTTAGGCATGCACTAGCGATTGAGACACATGCAGAGGAAGACGCTGAACTTACAGTGGCTTCCAGTGGCTCACGTTCCAGTCGCTACCAGCGCCCACGTAGGACCTGTCTCCTAGCGCCCTCCATTGACAGGGCCCGACCTCGGACGATAACCGGCACCACCTCCGGGTAGCCTCGGGTACTATCCGATGACTGGCAAAGACACGTGATAGCCGTGACAGAAGACACACTCTCAGGGTGAAGATCATACATGTATCAATGTAATAGATGCGTAGACTCTATCAACCATTATGCCATGCAATTTGTCCCTCCGAATACCTCAAGCAACTTGGATCGTGCCCTCCAGCCTAATGTCACGGCTACTGGCGCCGACCAGCACGCCAAACTCCCCAGCAGGGACAGTCCATTGCTGACCCTCCACATCCCAGACGGCGACATCCCTCTTGCGAATGCTGAAGCTTACGGGGCCAGAGGCACCCGCCTCCAGCGGCAGCTTGGCGAACCCACGAAGCTGCTTCGGTGGCTGGCCGGCTGCCGACTCTGGATAGGACAGGTACAGCTGTGCGACCTCTGCGCCAGCGACCGCGCCGCTGTTGGTTACGCTCGCAGTGACGGTGGCCACCTCGTCAAAAAAGTCTGCAGGGCCACCGGACACGATGTCGCCAGCAATAGGGCCCGAGGTGGCTGAGGACTGCACTTCGAGGTCGGCGTAGTCAAAGGTGGTGTATGCTATCGATGAGGGTCAGCTATGCACATTTCGCATCACGAAGATGTAGGTCTGCTCACAGAGGCCAAATCCAAACTCAAACTCGGGCTCGATGCCAGCGCTGTCAAAGTGCCGGTAGTCAATCATCACGCCCTCCTCGTAGTCATCGTCGCCAGAGACAACCTGGGTGTTGTAGTGACTGGCCTGCTTCGCAATCGTGTACACGAGCTTGCCGTTCGGGTTCGTCTCGCCCCAGAGTACATCGACGAGCGCGTTGCCACTCTCCTGAGACGGAAGACCCGCCCAGACGACAGCCTTGACGGATGGTAGGGCTAGGATCTCGTCCATGATGATGGCGCCCACAGAGTGGACCACGACGATCACGTTCTCGTTCACCTTGGCGACGGCCTTGACCAGCTCGTTGCCATTGTGCCAGGGATCGAGATTGTTCCTGTCGCCCGCATTGCCCTCCACCGTGATGTACCCCTCGCCAGAATCAGCTGTGATGAAGACCAGAGCCACGTCTTTCCCACTCGCGGCCGCCGCGCCCTTCGAAGCATCGTCACTGTCACTCAGCGTGACAGCACCGGGGGCTTTCTCCTCAATCGCCGCATATGGCTCACTAAAGGAAGAGTACTCGACACTCCCGCTGCCCCAGCCCATACCCAGGGCACCGTCATTGCAGCCCTTGTCGACGCAGACGTTGTTGGCGTGGTCTCCCTTTACAGCAGCAGAGCCAATAACCGCAATGGACGAGGGGCTCGCCAATGGCAAGATGTTGTCTTCATTGCGCAGCAGAACGATGCCGTCGCGTGCGCAGGCGCGGACATTGGCCCCGTGATCACCCTGGACATTGAGGTCCAAGTTGAGCGGAGGGTACTCGCCGTCCTGCCCCATCTTATACCAGGCGGCGAGGATACGCTTCGCCATATCGTTGACTCTCTCCTCGGCCACATCGCCGCTCTGGACGGCACCCTCCAGGCCTCCATTGCCCCAGTAGACATCGCCTCCGTTGTAGTTGCTGCCGGGCATGGACATGTCCAGGCCAGCGTTGGCAGCAGGGGCGTTAGAGTGCTGCGCGCCCCAGTCGGTCATGATGTATCCCTGGTATCCGAGCTGACCCTTCAAGAGCTCGTTCATGACGTGGTCATTCTCGCAGGCCCACGTGCCATCGAGCTTGTTGTAGCTGCACATGGTCGCTGCGACACCCGACTTGACAGCATCGTAGAACGGCGCGAGGTAGATCTCGTGCATGGTCTTGTCGTCCACGTTGCTCGACATGGTCTCGCGCCTGAGCTCCTGCTCGTTGGCAATGTAGTGCTTGATGGTCGCCTGGACGCCGACGGCTTGCATTGCTTCAATCGTCTCCGCAACAGCGACGCCGGTCAAGTAGGGGTCAGGGCTCCATCCTTCCCAGTTGCGACCTCCCTCGGCAATCTTGCCAAGAGCGCCAGCGACAGGCGCCAGCAGTACATGGACACCCAAGGCTCTAGCCTCCTCGGCGTGGAACTGCCCTCGCTCGCGGATCAAGTTCCGATCCCATGTCGAGGCAGCCTGTACGGCGGGGGTGAATGCCGTGATGGACGAGGCGTAGCGGACGCCAAGGGGACCATCTTGCAAGCAAAGTGATGGGTAACCGATGGACTCGACTGGGTGGGTGTTGCCCACGCAGCCTCCGTTTCCCTGCCAGCCGATGCCCGTGGCAATGCCAACCTTATCGGAGAGCGAGAGGTTGGTCAGGGCTGCTTCGGCCTTGGTGTACGCCTCATCCCACGAGAGTTGAGCAGAGACGAAAGGTAGGGTCGCAATGGCCAGCGCGGCGACTATCGGCCCGCGCATTGTGACGAAGCAGAAATTAGGTATATAGGGTTCTTCTCTGAATCGTCATCACGAGACAGCGGAGACGCAGGCGCCCATGGCTTTTATATCTGACTTGGGGCTTCGGCTCCTCATGCCCCGAGCTGCTAATCTCCTCCCTGCCAATACAGACTCAAAGTGGACGATCGTCGACAATCTGTCCCTTTTGACGGCATCCCATGGGGAAGCAGTGCGGAGCGCGGTAGGTCGCCCCGCGCAGCGTTGCAGTCGTTCGGAGGAAGCATCTCGACTTGCCTAATCGGGCTCTCGGAGCCGGCATTGTTGAAATAGGTTTGCAGATGCCGAGATGCAGCTCAAACAAGCTTATTCATGTGTTCCCGGAAGTTACGTCGTCCTCGGACCACGCGTGCTGGTCATCGAGAGGCGGGCTCAGGCCTCGAAGCGTCGTCCTCGAGAGAAAGCGAACGAAAACATCTTCTGGCGATTGCTAGCTCAGCAGTAAAATGATCTCAGTCTCAGATGTAAGGCTGCTGGTCATTTCTGATGTATTGACCGCCCGGCGCTTTAGCTGAGACACGAGGTCGTGGCCTTTCAATCCCCGGCGTTTAGGAGAGTCCTTGATCCTTGCCAAAGACTCGAGAATGAGCACGTCTTCTGGCGTACCCCTGTTTTTGAGATACTGCTCAAAGCTTTTGGGCGCCACAAAACTCGCTGCTATCTCCGTCGCGGAGGGGTCCAGGGGCCTTTGGACGCCTGGCGGGAGGTCGAGGCGCCGCAACAGGCGACGACGCGCGAGATACACGGCGTAGTAGAGATTGTACACGGAAGCAGACCATATCGCCCACATGTCTGCATCATCCACAACAGCAGATTTGGCCCCAATCACAGGAGAGGCTTGTTCCTCCCTGACGTCGTCCAAAGGGTAAATATCGACGTAGTCAGGGCTGGCACCTTTGTTCTTGAAATCCGTCCAGAACCACTCAATCTGCCCACTCTTTGTCCACCTGACCTTCAGATACGCCATCATCATTCTTCGACGGTGCTGTTCGATACGGATGGTGTGTTTCCCCTTTTTAGCGTGGCGCAGAGCGTTGGTCGATGGCGGGAGGTCTTGGTTGAAGACTCCGATATAGCGACGTGGTGCGGTGTTGTCGCATGGCGGTGGAGGTGGAGGTATCGACTTTGCCGTGTTCCATGGATCCTCGAGTGGTGTACAGAACACGAAATCCCAGAACCTGTCCTGCGAGATGCCCAGCGGCGTCGCAGAGAAGAGGGCCTCCAGAATGTCGCTGCAGCACTGTCGCTGAGACTCAGTCAGCTCGTGGGTGGCCGTCACAGGCCACATTGTGTCAGAAGAGATGCTAATGAGGACATCAACAAGCGTTGCAATACTGTCGATGGAAGCAAGTAAACTGATGCTCAAGGAAATGACCGGTGAACACGTTAATTATAAGCTTCAAGGTGCAGCTGTAGTCACGTGGCGTCGTATGTAGCCTTTAGCCTACCCCAGACACGGATCGAACTTTAATGCTCTACTAAATATGTTTGTTTTCCGAGTACCGTAAGTTCTCGACAAAGTCGCTAGCGCTAGTGTATGAAATCTAGCCTTTGATAGTTTAGTGTCATGTAAGCTTGGCTATGCGAGGGTGCAGACCTGACATAGCCCTGTGCAATACTCAGGCTATATAGCTAGACAATATCTACTTAATTAGCACCGCTTCTAGCAAGGACCGTGGTCAGCCAAGACAGACCAGCGCTAGCGACTTTGTCGAGAACTTACAGTACTCACCTCTTGAAATCATGCCTTGAACTCCCCCTTTGCAACCCTCTCGCTCAACTCTCCCAGCACTCTACCAGCCCACTCGTAATCGTCCAGCTCAAGGTAGACCTGCGCGCTGATCCGAACCCAGAACCGATCCCAGCGAACCCAAAGCGCCATGAAGGTCTTATATTCGTCAAACATCTTGTCCTGCATCCAGTTGAATGCCTTTGGCGCGTCTTCCTTGGACAGCACGGCCTGACCCGGCGGGGCCCGCGCTTTGCCATCGTCCCCGACCCAGAGGGGGAGCGCGACGTTGCCCATGCCGCAGTTCGTCAGGGTGCCAGACTTGTTCTGCAGATACGTCGTACCCAGCTTGTCGGCCATGTGCTGGATTCCCTTGAGGTTGAGATCCTGCAAATACGAGATGATCCTATCCTCGCCGCCCAGAACATCCCTCCTCCAAGCAATGGCATCCTTGACGCACAAGAAGGGGGAGTCGTCTCTGGTGCCCGTCCACTCAAAGTTCCTCACGAAATGGTTCTTCCCGGTCCCATCATCAGGCATGGGCTGCGTCCTGCCCTCGCGGTGGTTGTTCTGCGGAACGTACCCACGCGCAGTGGCGAGACTTGACGGGATGAGGTGCTGGTTTCTCTCCGGTACGTGGAAGACAGCGCAGCCTCGAGGGACGTGGAGCCATTTGTGACAGTTGGTGACCATAAAGTCGGGACTCGTGGCCGTCATGTCGAGATGCACCATGCCAATGCCCTGCGCGCCATCCAGCAGACTCATGATCCCCAGCTCTCGACACGCGGACACCATGGCCTCCCAGGGGAACAAAACACCGGGATTCGACGACACAATGTCGAACAAGGCAAGGCGGGCGCGTTTGCCTTCAGCCTCGATTTTCTTGACCCGTTCCCTGAACAGGGCGATAATCTCGTCGTCTTCGATGGGGTACGTCAGGGTGATCTCCGTCACGTCCACTTTGTCCTTGAAGTAGTCCACCACAAAGTCCTCAGCCCTCGCGCAGGCATCGTAGATTGTGTTGAAGCCGATCATCACGTCCTTCCCATCCTCGTTCCACTGCAGATTCTTCAACACAGTGTTGACTCCCTCGGTGGCATTGGAGACAAAGACGACGGATTGGACCGGCGCATTGATCAGCTTGGCCACCTCGGCGCGAGACTCATCCAGAAGACGAGGTAGCTCACGACGGATGAAATCATCCGGTCGTAGTTCATACTGCCTCTGGTAATGGGCACGTCTGGCCATGATGGCATTTGGCGCGGTACCAAACGAGCCTGCCCTTCTTAGCGATCATTGCTTTCAAGTCACGCAAATAGACTGGCTCACCTTGGTTGAGATTCCTCCACTCGGGATCAAAGGGGAACTCTGGCTTGAGAGCATGGCCGAACGTAGCAAATCCGTCGCTGCCCATGGCCACGGCTTCTCGCTGCCCGGGTACCTCTTTCGTTGCGTCCATTGTCATCTTGTCTGTTCTGTGAAAGTCAATGAACCAAATCCAGATGTCAGCGCTTTCTGTTATATACAGCAGCAGAGTGTCGCCGCCTGCTCTGTCGATGACAGGGCGTGTCGACCCCACCAGGCCCCGCGTGTGAGTGACACCAATATATTCCCAACTTCGCAGGTCCGAGCCGATGTGCGGCGGCTTTGCGGCAAACTGAGGAGTCAACACCCTTGAACCGAACGGATTCGCTAGTCATCCACATGAAGGAGTCACAGTGCGGTCACTTGGCCATTGGTGGGGCAATGATGCAGCACAGTCGCAAGGCTTCCACGCTACTTACCCACGGCAGCGGATAACACCCGCTTCTGAAGGCAACCGACATCCGCTGGCCTTCATGGTCACTGTTGAGAAGCTGCGAAAATCAGAGAAACAGTCATCTTGTATTCGTGGAGGCGACATCGCTTGCCACCCCGTACCCGCACCCAACCCCTGATCCCAGTCACGCCGATATCATCCACCGCCTAAATCGATCTCGGGAGGTCTGTCGCACTCGACAAGGCGCCAATAACGCCGCGCTTCTGAAGTCATGTTGGTATCTATCGTAATTCGGGACTGCCCATGAAGGACAAGGAATCCGGAAGCCCCATGCTGAGCAGAGTCCGCATGGCGTCGTGCTCTGGCGTAGTGTGGCGCGCTGATGATCCCGTGTCGGCGTCTGGTCGTGGCAATGGCTTGTTTCGCGACCCCTGAGGCGTGATGCTTTGACAAGACAATTCCATGCGGTCGGAAAGGTGTGTCACTTGCTGCCGCTCATCAGTGTATAGCCATGGCGCCGGTGGCATGCCATTTGGCCCAGGGCGGGAAGCAGGCAAGGAGATTGTAGACCGTCGTTGGTTATTGTCAACAATCTCGCCGAGCACTGGCCGCGACTTGGTGGATGGCCTGGCCATGACCTCGTCGAAAAACTTCTTTGGTGTGCGACGCCGGGGGTTCTCCTTGATCGCACAGGGAATCGCGCTGAGAGAGGCTCTGTTGCCAGTACTGACGGGCGTCGCATAGGGAGATTGAGGCCCAGGCATGGGGTCAGGCCTAGGGTGTAGCAGGAAAGGAGGCGGCAGCGCGCATCCATTCATCGGTAGAAGGGGTTGGTGAAGATAGGCAGGCCTTGGACCAATCGGCCCAGGCTGCGCTCCCGGAGCTTGATGCGTTTGCGGTTGGGAATCTGAAGCGATGGCCGCGCTGGGCGCCCCTGCTGGCGCCGACTTTCGTGAGCGCTTGCTTCGAGGCTTTGCGGGCACTTTTGCTTCCGTTCTCACCAAAGATTCACCAACAAATTGGTAGGTCTGGTTGGCCGGCGGGTCGACGATTGGGAGCTCGTGTGCAATGTCCGTAGTTGTGTTCCGGCGCTTCTTCACAAACGTCTCCGAGGATTGCGAGGCCTGTGAGCTGGCAGAAGCGTCAGACTGGGTGCTGCGCAATCGTGGTATCTTCGGCTTTCTTGCCAGCGCTGGGTTTCCAGTGATCTGATAAAGCTCGTCCATGATCTTGCAAGTCCAATAGGCCCCGTTTTGCTTATGATCTCGCAAGGCCACAGGATATGCCGGGACCGGTTTTGGTTTCTTCTCCGTCTCGCTCGCCTCTTGCCATAATGCAGGCACGCGAGCTTGTAAATCGGTGACCCACGCGTCGCAATCCCACTGTATCCAATAGTCCAGAATATCACCCCAGGTGCTCTCCGGCGGCTTTGTGAGGTTAATAAATATAACCTTGCCTTTGCCGTTATTATGGATAGCTTTAGCAAATTCGCGGACAATGAACTTCAGTCCGTGCACCCGCAGACTTGTGCCCATAATAAGCATGACATCCGGGCTCAAAGCAACGTCCTGTTCGATAATAGGACCGATCAGGTCTCCGCGTGGGTGCTCCTCGCCGTAGAGAATTATATTCGGCCTCAGCAGACCAACGCCCAGAGCCCGCTTGCCTTTCTCTTCTCGAGCCGTTGTCTCGCCGATACAATGTGGACATTGAGGCTGCTGGCCAGATATGGTTACCGTCTCTAGGCCGTCCCAGGAAGACTCGAGCTTGCAACGAAAGCAAGCTAGAGTTTCCAACGATCCGTGCAGATACACGCATTCCACGCCTGATTTTGCCGCCGGCGGGGCTACTGGTGGTTGCTGAACTTGCTGGCTGTCATGTGCCGCCTCTCCAACCATTCTGCTCAACTGGCTCGCGTTGCCTGCACGGATAGAGCGACGCGAGAAACGCCCCTTATCGCCTGGGCCCTCGGATAGAGACGTCGACAAGCCCACCTTCTCCTCGATCCTGTCAATGTTCTGCGTGTAACACCTGACGAGCTTCCCACGGTCTTTGAGGTGCCGGATAAAGTGGTGTGACGTGGTAGGCTGACAGTCCCGGACCTTTTGACGGAGTGAAGTTGCAAACGTGTAGAAGACCGACGTTTTCTTGGGGTCAGACCAGATTTGAGCATCGAAAAGATCCTTGCCCTTGATTGGGGGCAGCTTGTGGCGCCGGAAAGAAGATTCCGTCTCCTCGTTATCGTCGACATCGGCATCTGACTCCGATGAGCTTTCGGACCGCAAACTCATGACTGAGTCGCGGTCAGCCAGACTGCTCGATCGCAGGGCGTGCGAATCAAAAAATGCCGCAGGGGGGGACGACAGCGGCGAGGACGGATGCCAAAAGTGACTGGGAGGGGAAGACAGAGGTGAGGTCGGGGCCAGGTTTTCGACGCGTTTCGGTGTCGCCAACTGTGAGAAGACTTCAACTGTAGTCGATCGCGTGATTCTGCGTCGTTTCGAGGCCTGATTGGAGTCCTTGTCATCTGACTGCTCTGCTGCTGCCTCGTTGCCATTTTGTTCTCGGCGTAGCTGCGCGTCCACGACCTGTTGCAGCTCGATGATGGGCGATTCTTCCTCGGCGTCCGTCGATTGTGAGCTTTGCTGTGACTCCAAGCGAGCTGCTGCATCGTACTGCTCTTGAATTAGTGAGTATAGCCCGTTCTTTGAGCGAAAGTCCGGGATGCCTGAATTGGTGCTGATGCCGGCTCCAGTGACCACAACCACCTTTCGCGCCTTTAGAATGGCATTGGCGATGTCCTGGAGGTGGTCGTGCGAGGTTGGCTCGATATGAAGCGTTGGCATGTTAACGAATCGACGCGTTCACGCGACGCTTGGGCTGTCTACCAATTGGCATTTCCTTTTCCCTTATAGCTGCAAGACTCCTTATTGTTGTCGTCGTCGCGTTCAGTCGAGGAAGAGCGTGTAGTGTAAGTCGGGCGGCGCGAACCTGGAACGCGGTTACAGTAGGCGATTGACTAGCAGGATGGCACAGGAATGAGTTCTGCGACCAACCCTGGTTTGTCGAGGTGAGCTCTCGGCTCAATTGCAAGGGGGAAGTGATCAGGTGAAGACTGGCTGATATTGCGTTTGGAGGTGACGCGCTTCACCCACCCAGTGCCTCTAATTCCAGATCCGTTCAATGTTGTTGTTCGCGCCTGCCGCGGGTGCTTATCTTAGCTTTATCAAAAGCGGGCTGGCGGCTGGCGCTGTGAGCCACCTGTGGCCGGCCGCGGGGGTCAGCCAATTCATCACAATTGATTCACGAAGGAGAGAACACGTATAGCGCTGTTCAAAGTCTTCTTGCTCATGCAAGCGAGAGCAGTTCTAATTATGTCCTTAATAGTCATTATACAGGGCATCGCGGAACTTGGGAAAGTCCCGTGGCACACCTAGGCCGGTGATGGCATCCCAACCCTCCGCCGATTTCCAGCCTCCAGGCTTGCCCTTTTCCTCGAAATCGCAAGATGCACTCGTTCCATTCATGACATCCCGAATACTGTCCTGGACGGCTGTGTCATTGTACAGCCTTTGGTTGATCCAGCCCAGAGACTTCTTGCCGGCCTTGAACCTGTCCTCGTCGATGAGCGCGAGCATAGCGGCTACCACGGGGGTGCTTGCGCTTGTGCCGTCGAGATAGAACTTTTGCAAGGCAATCGTCACATCAAACTCGGTGCCAACGGCAGATATATCGGGTGTGGCGCGCATGCCGGCGTTGTAGTACTCGCTCAGATATCCATCCAAACTCTTGACGTACCCCTCAACGGCTTCGTCCTGCCATGATGGTCGCTTGAAGTACTGCGAGAAGCCACCACCGCTGAACGTGGCTCCCTCGGGGGGCTCGACACCGTTGCGGACAGCACCGACCGCCGTGACCCAAGGGCACGAGGCAGGGAACACAGCCATGGTGACGGGCCTACCGTCGGCTGTCTGGCAGGAAGAGTTCCGTGCCCCGGCTGCGCCTCCGTCTCCTGAACCTGCAAGAATGGTGGTACCACGGGCGGTCAGGAGACCAAGCATGGAACACACTCGCCCAGCATAGGGCTGCGGAACCGACAGCTCGTCGTCCGCGTACGAAAACGAAAGTACGTGGGGGATTTCGTCGTCTTCCTTGGCAAGCAAGTAGTCCAAGAATTCGAGGTATGGTTCGTTGCTGGAGTCCTCCTCCGGCAATGGCTTCCCAGTATCGTTCAGCTGGACACCGCGACCACCGACCGAATAGAAGTTGACATTGGAAGGGTAACCGATGGCCATGGCATATTCCACGTCCAACTGCGCCTCTGAACCCGACTTCATGGGGTTCTGCGTGTCTCCGCCCCCGTTGACCTTTTCGATGGTGAAATTGTACCCAGTCTTGGAAATGCTCTTGGCTGTGCGCTTGAGGAAAACCTCAACATCCAGATAGTTTGCATACTGCTCCAGAAACCCCGCGATCCCTAGGCGAACAGACGAAGAGGTACTGTTTGTTTTGGGGGATGGCATCTTGTACAGCTCTCGGATGCAGTCTGGGGTGGTCTGATCGGCACATGGTAGATCGTCGCGTCGGACCTTATCTCGAGGGGGCGAGGGATGGGACAGCTCTGTTTTTGGCGTCATGAAGTTCGTCACTGGGTGGATGAAACTGATCACCTCAGCCAGGTCATCGGGAACGGAGTATTGGCGTGTGCGCAACACGGGCGCTTTCCCCTCGAATGAGTAGCGGCCGAGCTTCATATCCAAAAGCTTCTCAGCCTCGTGGGCGGTGGTTTGGACCTTGATCCAGTCATCCTGGTGGGTTGAAGCAATGCCGTACCCGGCAAGCCACTTCTGGACGGCTGCAACGTCCTCGTCTTCTGGTCGTCGTAGTGTCTGAGTCTCTTCCCTCGTTAAGAAGCTGGAGCGCGAGTCGACGATGAGTGGCTCCAGATCTTGCATTCGAGGCTCCCGCAAGGCGATGGATAGTCGAAGTGGCTGCGCCTCGTCGACAGGGTGCTCCTCAAGCGACCATCCCTCGGGGATCTTTGTGGCCTTCTCCAAAACCAGGCACTGGGCAAGGCCAGTGAGCATTACCAGCAAGCCACATGCTGAGTGGTGCATTTTCGCGAATGTAGTGTAGGAAAGGACTCAGTTGCGGAGGGTGAAAGAAAAGGTTTCCGTAACGTGAGAGAGAGCCGCTTTGCTGAGCGTGTTTGCCCTTGGAAATGACGCTGTTGTCTCAAACAGATCCCCACTTGAGCGTTGTCACGGTCAACCAGGAGTCCAGGACATATCACATTCTTAACCTCTTTTCCTTCCAAGCGTCGCCGATCGCCATCTCGCAAGAACGTCGGCGCGTTGGTCATTGTTGGCTCGGGGGCGTTTGACGGAAAGTCGGCTTTCTGTGGATGTCGTATGACGATACTGTGGAACCTCGTAAGCGTAAGGGTCTCAAACTCTCAATGGCAATGCAACGATGTTTCAACTACCGGCTTTGCCCGCGTTAGCAAACTCAATCGCCATGGATGTCGATGAGCCTCCTCGGTCACAGATCGAGCATGCCTGCGACGGGCACCAGAGGTCTGGCATGTCGTATGAAACTTTTGGTCAAGTTTCTCCGTTTCTCCCGCCTGGGATTTACTTTGGTGTATGGGGCATTTAGGTGTCGGTACTCTGTAACTTCAAGTTTCCGTCACCTTGCCATTTGGTCATTGGTTAAACCTGGTTAAACCTTAATACGTGTGTGCCAGTCGGGTATTTCTTCAAGCAATGAATGCCCAGGACGATTCCGTGGGGCAGCAAACAACCAAAAAGCTGTGCAGTGGACAGTCCTAATTAGCGCTGTACGGATATTGTGATGCGAAAGCACGGGCCTAATTATATCGAGCAAGGTTTTTGATGTAACTCGACGACTGGAAGCTCTGTTTGCCGCTGACCTCTCGTGTTCCCGGGTAAGGTGACTGACTCACGCGACAGGTGCTCGATGATTGCAGGAGTACCGTGTACAACTACAAACCACAAACACGCATGCATGCATGCACAATGTGCTTCTTCAACTTGTTGCAATGCCCTTTTATTAGCGCACCAAGTGTTACACCACTCGGACAGATGCTTAGCCGAATGCCAACTCCTTTTCAGCCAAAGATCACAAAGTACACTGTGCGCTGACATGGGCGAAACGTGGCTCCAGAGTCCGCGCCAATCAATGAAGATTCCAGAACGGCGCGTCGAAAATGCCAAAGCGCATTGTGTGGAAGCCGAAGATCATGGCGGTTCGCCTCAGGTCCAGCATAACATTTGCGTGATCGCGCGACGCTTTGCAACGCTATACGGAGTTTCCGTACGTGCTCTCGAGTCATGGTCGATAGTGCGTCTTTTAGTGGCGTCCAACCACGTGCTATACATGTAGATAGCATCCCTGGAACTGGACCATTGACTTGAGGCTATTGATATCAAATGAAGACTGACCGCCCTTGCAGAGAATGGGAGAAAAGGGCTAACAGCATTCTATACGTCTTTCTTTTTGTCACGCAACTCCTGACAAGACTGTTCGGGCCCCGGGGTCTAGGAGTTGGATTCTTGAAGAAATTCTCGATCCAGAATCGCGGCATCTGCCGCTGGGCACATTGTCCACAATAGCTCTCCTTTGTTTTCCCTCGACGCCCGCGCTAGCCACCTGGCTGCCCTTGTCACCACCAGCATCAATGTGACCTTGATCCGAGTCGAGTGCGATCCATCATCCAATGCGTGATCCGACGATGCGCAGTCTTTCCTAAACGGGTCAAGTGGCTTAGATCGCTATTCCACAGGGACTCTAGGCTTTAGAAAGCAATAAAGATCCAGACCTTCGTCGATAATCTTGCCAGCTCACCTAAGGACCAATCCAATGTGCAAGACAATCATAGGAAGGGAGGAGACCCCTCCACGACGCTTCAATAGCCCAAAAATCTCTTCTCGAGCCCCTCTGTCCCAGCTCCTCCTGGTCAAATGCCCTTTGGACAATAAGCAGTCAGTATTGCGAGTATGGCCAAGCCAACGGCGACAAAGACCGTTCAGGACAGAGCACAGTAGATGAGGCTCAAGATCCCAGCGTCTACATGCGTCTTCCCCAGATTTGCTCTCCCATTCAGCCCCTCACCACCAATGCACCCCGAGAGGGGTGAGCCCGCAGAACGTGGCTTTCTCCGCTGAGCTTGACTTGCCAAGTTTTGTCCACTCGGCCATCTTACTGACGACTCTGGACCGCATTCGCAAAGCTGGCGTCGGGCATGTGGATAACAAGGGCAGCCGTTGCATAGGGCTGTCCGCCGTGTCTCTCCTGCGGGGAGCCACCCTTTTTTCCCAGACGATGTCGTTCCAGCTCGCCCTCAACTCAGCTCAGCCAGTCGCGCTGGCGTGGCTTGAGATGATCCCACTCATAATCTCGAATGAGGGGCTGAAGCGGCAGTCGTACGATTCGTGCCACGGAGAGAGCTAAAACATATATAAGATGATCCCATATGAGGTGCGCCGCCCGCTGACAGTGACATTGCGATAGTGGCCCATCTCCAGATTCATCAAGGAAATAAAAGTCTCGGCGCATACCGAGTCATGCAAGATCCCGCGCAACAGCCGCGGCGACGGTGGTCATATACCTCCAAAGCTACCTGTGGTCTCATCAAGTCTCCAGCGGATGCGCCAATACGCGAGGCATCAACATCGTCGCCGACTCGGCCTGTGCACGCGCAGCAGCGCAATGTCGTGACACCGTCAGATCCAACTCAGCCTCGCGCTCTCCGCGATCTGCCCACCTCAACGACCAACAAAATGCCGAGCACCATTCCTCAACGCAAGCCTTCTCTGAGGGAACGATTCTGGACCGTCGGCGCCGCCAACTCCGCCGTCGAAAGGGATCGCGAGCAAAGGCGAAGAGCATACGTCCCTCGCCACGCAGCCTCTGGCTTTGAAAGAACAGCCTCACCACCGAAACGCGAGTCAGAGTATGTCACTGCGACGTTGAGCAGAAGGCGCAATCCGGAGGACAATGAGTATCAGGCTTTCGTGCGGAGGGAGGAGGCCAGAGACTTGGCAGAGAAGCTCTATGGCGAGAGGAGACCAGAGAGCAACCCGGTCGGTGTCAAGAGGAGGCCAAGCAAGGTCGTGCGGATGATCGCCGAGTATGTGAAGCCGCCGAGGGAAGGTGAATGAGAGATGTCGGCTGACGGGCAGCCACTTGCGTGGCTATGAGGGATAGCAGATGATGATTGCGCTGTACATGTATCATTAGGAGCAGAGCAATGATTTGCTCGACGCTGGCTAATACATGTCCCAGAATATGTTCCCAAGACGCCCCAAACTCACCTTAGCCCAGCCCACATTCCACAAATTCAACCATATAAACGCTGCCCCCGTAGATCCAGACAGCGGATGACCAAAGCGGCAAATCCAACAACAATGCGCGCCATCCAGCCACGCGGCACATACACAAGCGGTCCCAGGCAAGAACTCCAGACAAATATGATTATCGAACAGGACTCGAACAGAGTACTCGTCGACAGCAGCGGGTATCATAGCAAGCGATTTCCGGCTGTATAAGAGCCAGAAACTCGTTAATATCAAGCGTGTATAGCCCCCACGCCGTTTCTCCGAGGAATCTGAATCTCCTCATCATCAGAGCTGTTGTTTCCATCGTCGCCTCGGTCGAGCATCCGGTCAATGTCTTTGTCGCTCATTGGTTTTCGGAGGGGGACATGCGTGATGCCTAGGGCGCTGGGCAAGGACATCGCGCTCCGCACGTGTCCTCCCGCATCCGTCCTCCTGCGCGGCATCCCACGAGGACTATCGCGATACGGAGAGTCAAGCTCCATCGGCGAGCCAGGGGTGACCGCCTGACCTGGCGAAGCGTCGAACCCAACCCGTTTGGCGCCTTGCCCTGTCTTCTGCCCAGGAAGTGCCTTCCTGGGTCCAGTTGGCAAAGGCTGGCGCGCGGTGCTCTTGGGAATAGGCTGGGAGCTAGGCCCGGGTGAGCCTGCGGGGGAGAAGGAATGTTTCAAATTGGCCGAGTTGTTGGGGCTGCTCATGAACAATAGCGTCTCAATAGCATCCTGTTCTCGGTTGTTGGGCTGTGGTAATTGCACTTGCGCCCCTGATCGTAAGTGGTTTGTCTGAAGGGCCGACAGCTGCGCTGGTGTTCGAGGTCCACCGGCAGAGCGTGACTGTGAGAGTAATGTAGGGGTATAGCGGGTATTAGAGTTGCGGCGAGGATGTGAGCCGGTGGGCGCCATGCCTACTGACGGCCGGATAGACGCCGGTGGCGCGAGACCTTGCTGATGTCCAAGGCGCGGCGGCGAGTTGGACTTTCGTCTGGTCACTTGGCCGTCGGCAAAATGAACCATGGGCCGCGCGCCCATCTGCGGACTTGCAGAAGACCCATTGCGGCGATGACCAGGGGTAGATGTGCTAGAGGTTGGCGATACGCCTTGCGAGGCCAGTGTCTCGACTTCATTAAGGGAGCGATGCTGCCAGCCGTTGTTGACTTTGATCATGGCATATGACAGACGCGTTTTGAGATCGTGTGATAGCTTCACAGTGTCAGCCTGGGCCCCGTCCAGTGACGCCAGAATACTCACGTCGCCAATCGTGCTGGCAGTCGAGATGGCGCTCACGGCGCTCGTATTTCTCGAGTGTCCTTTGTTGGGACTCTTCACCTCGCCATCCGCCATCCGTTTCCTCGAGGGAACATCGCCTTGACCAGTTGACATCCGATCCTGGGCAGCCGCGAGAGCCGACAGCTGATGCAATTGGCTCGCCTCGCTGAGGACTGCCGGTTGTGTTGTTGGTGGTACGTCGCGTCTATGTGCGTCTGTATCGCTTGCCGTGGGTGTAAAAACATGGTCCGAATGGGACGTGGCATTGGAAGCCTGCGACCCCTCAGTGGACCGAGGATCGCTCTGTGAGAACCGCTCGTCAGCATAGAGTGGCGCGGTTGCGGCTTTGTCGTCGTAATTGTTATTTGTCGAGACTGGAGTATGTGGGATGGCAGAGCCCGCGTAGTTGTTCGTCGTCGTGGGTGTCTCAGTACCGCGGCCGTCTGCATGCCTAGTGGCGGACATGGAGGACGCGACCGTCGCGTTGCCGACCCCAACGCCGGGCCGGTCGAGCCCAGTGGATGCCATGAGGCAGTCGATTATTTCAGTCGCGTATTGGCAATATGGGATGATCGTGTCTGCGCTGTCCCGTCTCGAGCGTGGTGGGATTGAACTTTGAAGTGGCAACGTAGGGGGTCGATTGCGTGGAATAACAGCGCGACTGTAGTGGCTCACTCAACCGCGTGTTTGGTGGAGCGGCTGACGGGGTTCCTCTGGGTACGAATATGTAGCGACGAGGGTTCACCACACAAAGAGCAATGGATAGAAATACAATGTGGGATCGTTGAAATGGAGATCTGGCTCTTCGCGAGGGTAGCGTAGTGTAAAGGTCACGGGTCGAACGCCAGGTGCCTAGCTTGGGCGACTCTTTCCTACTGACTCTTGTGCGTGCTGGTTTACGCGGTCACCGCGACGGATGCGGGAGGTGCCACCCACTACGAGTCGGGTCCCGCCTTCCCCAGTCCCACTTGGGTTTCGACCGCCCGAGACTCGATGAAAGTCTATTATTTTGCGAGATTATTAAAGATATCTTGACCAGCTGGATTACGCCGGTGGAAACTGAAAAGCAGATAAGAGTTGCGTTTCTTCCACTAGGTCAAATGCTATAGCAACGCCGCTTGTGGTCATCCATTGGTACCCAGCAACAGTCGAAACCGCGCAACACCCTTGCAAGTGCATACTCAGTGTCCCAGAGCAAAGTTGGGTCCATCATCCGTACTCCAGTCTTGCTGTGTACAACGAGTAGTGAAGTGAATCTTGACACATTTTGCGCGTCGACTGACACTCTACGGATACATATGATACGTGATCGCAAGTTGAGCGGACAATGACGTCTTCCCGCGCCTGTGACAGGTTCCATCGAGCCGCGTGGTGCCGCAGGATCGCGGATCAGCAGACACGTTTTGTGCAATCAACCACGATTAACCCCTCAAAGCTCTGCCATAGCGGGGGAAGGCAGATCTTGAGGCCCAGCCTGTTGGCTGTACGTATCTGGTCGCATGGAAACATTTGCGCGAAACGTTGTCGATTTTCCCTTGCAATCCAGCCCGCTCTAGAATGATTGTAAGATGCTCGTTCATGACACGAAGTCACGTGGTCTCCCGCCATCCTCTCCAAGCAGGTTCAATCTGATACACCCGGTGCCGTGCAATGCACCATTTCATGAGGCTATATCAGCTGCGCTATCCACACTCTGGCTCATCGCCCACTCCTGTGTGCCCGCGCACCCCGCCGTCTAGTATGACATCTTCGTTGTTGTCCAGGTCATCTTGAACCCGCCGCCAGCCCGCCTGGCGTGGTCTCCTCCCCTCAAGTTCCGGCCCTTTGCCCTTGGCATTGAACACTGGCTTGATAAGTGCACCTAGCAAGGGATTGCCACTGAAGGCGCCACCTCCAAGTCTGCCCTTGTTGGCTGTCGGCTCGGGCCCATTGTGGTCCTCCATCTCGTCGTTTTCTTCGTCGCTTTCCGGGGTTTGTGGGCGTTCTATCGCAGCCATCTTACGCGTCACCTTCCGACCCTTGAGATCAATACTCACAATCTGCTGCCTCTTTTCGTAGTCTGGTTTGGCATTCCACTCCATTTCGCGCATCAGCTTTTGCTGTCGCTTCAGCTCTTTGGCCCTGTCCTCGGGAGTGGCCCACATGCTCCCACCTGTCCCAGCCATTGCTCCGCTGACATCAAAATCGCTTGCCTCGTCGCGTACCGTGGTTCTCCGAGCGTTTTGGGCCTGGAAATTGAGCAGCTTGTCCCGGTGCTCACGTGCCTTCGCTTCAGCTTCGTTTACCGGGCTTTCGTTCCCGCGAGGCTTTGTAAAGGGCGCTGGGGTCTTGGCAACGTCTGCTCGACGATTTGCTTTGGCGTCTACAGCCATGAGCTCGCGGCCTCGCTCCTCTCGAAGTTCTCTCATCATAGCCTGCACCTCGGCCGGCTTGAGCAGAGGCGTTCCACAGAATGTACATGGCCCGAGACCCTCCTTCATGCAAATGACCTTGCCGCACGTCAAACAATTGGGTGCTGCGCCCTGGAGAGCATGTCTCGTTGCAACGCAATTGCACTTCCTTGCCTCTGTATTATCCAACGTTGGGTTTGTCGTAATCTCCAGGGCTCGTATCGCGGACTCTAAATCTGCCAGTGCCGTAGACTGTCCCGCCATAGGCGTGCCGCCAGCTATAGTAATCTTTGTACTCGTTTTGGCTGTCGGTTTCGGTGTTGAGCTACGCGATGTGGGCGTAGACTTTGGCTTTGACTTTGACACGGGATCCGAGATCAGGAAGCCGGCAGAGGGTCGCTCCCTTCGAGTCTGCTCTGCTGGGGTGCTAGAACCAGAGGCATGTTTGCTGTTTGGCAGGCTCGCGCGCGGTACTGTAGGCATATACTCGAGCTCCTCATCTTTCTTATTGTAGGCCTTGCCGGCGGGCACCGTGTAATCGAGCTGACGTGCTGGTAGCTGGCCAATCGGAGGCTTTTTCTTCTTCGCCTGGCCACGTTTCGACTTGGGGACAGAGTCAATGTCCGACGCGGATGCAGATGCGGTTTGTGATACGGGCGCTGATGAGTTCGAGGCAGCGGTAATCTCCTTCCGACGAGAGTTGAAGGAGGCGATGAACTCAACCGCTTGGGGGCTGTTGCCGAGAAGGTTACTGAAGTGGGATGCCGCCTCAGCTTTTGGGAGCGATGCGCCGTAGTCGAGTACTTGCTGCAGCTCCTCGTTCGGAAGTGGCAGCAGCTGCGCTAGCTGAGCGAGCGACATGCCTCAGAGTTCAAAGCTATCCCTCTAGGAAAGTAGGGCGAGGAAGAGAAATTGTCCTGGTTGCCAACATTTCTTACCAGTTGCTGAAGTGGTGACGTTGGTTCATCCCCCCCACAGCGAGAAAAAGAAGCCTACCCTAAACATGACTCATCCGGCGTCATTGAAGCTTTGAGAGACTCTTACGTTGGCCGTGACATGTTGAGCTGCCTGGATAAACCCGAAGCACTTATTTGCACGTTTATCCAGAATGGATCGGAGGCATATTGTTTATGCTGACGTTTATGTCAAACGTTTAGAAAATTGGGTGGCCTAAAACCGGTTGTAATGGGGGCGCTGAAAAGCGACAGGGTGTAACAAGCAAGTGATGCAAGTACGAATCTTGCCGAAAAGACGTCTCTACCCACAATCTGAGGACATAACTTTAAACCGTTGCCGTTATTCTAAGACATCAGTTAATAATCATTCATCGTCCTGCCGAGTCCGAGTTGATCAGAGCCTCAATCACGAGCCAGCCACCTTGGCCAATCCCGCCAATTACCCGGGGCCAATGCCGAGCTAGAGCCGCTCGACTGTCATTGGCTGGCCACCCAAGCAACAGCTGTCCGCCTCGGACGGGACACCAGCCAGCCAATTGTGCTCCTTTGGGGCGAGAGGGAGCGAATCCCCCGACGTCCGTCCATCCATCTTTTTTCCTTGGGAAAACCACGCATCGCCATCTTCCTCTCTTTTCCCACATTGTTTGATCCACCTCTTCTTTTAGATACCCTTTCATCAATCCCTTCAAGATGATGCTCGCTAGCAAGATCCAGCGCCGGGCCTTTTCCGCCACGGCTCGCGACGTACGTTCCTAGCTCTCCTCCCTACCCAGCCCCAACAATACACTACGTACAATCAGTTTGCTGACGTGCTGCGCACAACACAGCTCTCCAAGGTTGCCGTCCTCGGTGCCTCGGGTGGCATTGGCCAGCCTCTCTCGCTGCTCATGAAGCTCAACCCCCGCGTCACTGACCTCGCTCTTTACGACATCCGTGGTGGACCCGGTGTCGCTGCCGACCTCTCGCACATCAACACCAAGTCGACCGTCACCGGCTACGACCCCACCCCTACCGGCCTCGCTGCCGCTGTCAAGGGCGCCGAGGTTGTCCTCATCCCCGCCGGTGTCCCTCGCAAGCCCGGCATGACTCGTGACGACCTCTTCAACACCAACGCCTCCATCGTCCGCGACCTCGCCAAGGCCGTCGCCGAGTCCGCCCCCGAGGCCAAGGTTCTCATCATCTCCAACCCCGTCAACTCGACCGTCCCCATCTGCGCCGAGGTCTTCAAGGCCAGGGGTGTCTACAACCCCAAGACCCTCTTCGGTGTCACCACCCTCGACGTCGTTCGCGCCAGCCGCTTCGTCTCCGAGGTCAAGAAGACTGACCCTGCCGACGAGAACATCACCGTCGTCGGAGGCCACTCTGGCGTCACCATTGTGCCTCTCTTCAGCCAGAGCAAGCACCCCGATCTGACCTCCAACGCCGACATTGTCAAGCGCGTCCAGTTCGGTGGTGATGAGGTCGTCCAGGCCAAGGACGGTGCCGGTTCCGCCACCCTCTCCATGGCCATGGCCGGTGCCCGCATGGCCGAGTCCGTCCTCCGCGCCGTCCAGGGCGAGAAGGGTGTCGTCGAGCCCGCCTTTGTCGACTCGCCCCTCTACAAGGACCAGGGCATCGACTTCTTCAGCTCCAAGGTTGAGCTCGGCCCCGAGGGTGTCGCCAAGATCCACCCCATCGGGCAGGTCGACGCCAACGAGCAGAAGCTCCTCGACGCCTGCCTGGTTGACCTCAAGAAGAACATTGAGAAGGGCGTCTCCTTTGTTGCCTCCAACCCCGGCAACTAAGCCTCGCGCCGGACTTCTTGTATACGAATCATCTTAATCACGAGAGACGGGGAATTATGAGCCTGGTTTCAGAAGATCAGCGTCTTTGTATCATAGCCATGAAATCAAACATTATGACCTTCTCTTATATTCTGGCCGTGTCCATTCTCATCTATGCTGGAATGTATCTATCGTAGTATACACAGTCTTTCGCATCTACTCTATTATGGCTCGCCAAAGTGCAGAGCCGGCCTAGTTCTGCCTTCCAGCCCTCCAGTTCTCAAGCGCCCGGCGGCGCTCCTCTACCTTGCGCTCAAACTCGAGCACCTTCTCCTGCGCCTTCTTCTCGTCCTCCTCGGCCTTCTTCTGGGCCAGGACCTCCTTCCTAGCCATCTCACGCTCGAGCTGATCGGGGCGACGCTCGGCAATGTCGCGCGGGCGGAAGTCGCTGAAGCCCCACTTGAGGCCACGCTCGATCAACCAGCAGAGACCAAAGTCGAGAACCATGGACGCGGTCATCTTGGTTTTGAACTCCTCGGTGAAGGGCACAAGCTTCATCTGCTCGTTGATCTCGGGGATGAGCTCCATTGCGCAGACAAAAGCAAGGCCAGAGACACCGACAATGCCCCAGTACATGCCCTTGTTTTCCGACAGGGACTCGCGGAAAGGACGGCCCTGGTAGTTGATGGCAAACGTAGAAATCTGCTGGATGAGCTGGAGCAGGTAAATGGCGGAGTTGAGCAGAGACGGGCTGAACTCGGCCTCGAGGTCGACGTCGTCACCGGAACGACTGCATTTGTTAGTTTTATCAGTAGTTACATACGGGTGGGGGCTGGACGTACGGTTCAATCTTCTCGCTGAGGCGGGCAACGTAGATAAGCGTGCTAATGTGCACTGCGAACTGACCCAGGATGGAGCCAATGATGTACACATTGAAAATGTTAGGCTGAGGACGCTCCTTGCTGAGACCCTCTACAACGCGGGCGCGAGAGATGGACAGAAAGCAGACAGACATGAGCATGCCACTGATCGTGTACTGCGTGTCGCCAAACTTGATGCCCTCGAGGTACAGGACAGACAGGGAGTAGGCGCTGATGAGGCAGTTGAGGGCGAGGATCTTGTACATCTGGATCGTAGCGACAAGCGTGCAGCGACCCTGGCGAATGATGTTGGGGATGGCGATGACATTGCGGAGCTTGGAGGTGAAGGGGGCGGCGACAGACGCATCACCAAGCTTCAAGGTGGGTGGTTCGCTATCGTCCAGCTCGCTCTCCATCATGCTGGTCGAAAGCTGATCGGCGAGGCCGGCAGCCTTCTTCATGGCATCCTGCTGCTTCTTGTTGCCGCTGTTGGCGATGAGGTCCTGGGCGCCAGGAGAGGTGATGGTCTCGGCAGGGTGACCCAGAGACTTGGTGTACTCGTCGATGGACATGTTCTTCTTGTTGGCCTCGCGTTCGACGGCCTTGGAGAAGTGGGGGTTGCTGGGGCCAGGGGGGTAGAGGTGGGCAATGATGGCAGGCACGGGGGGTGCAGGCTGATTGAAACGCTTCATCAGATCACACTGCTTCTGGTACATTTCCTTCATCTTGGTGTTGCGCGAGTGCTCGGCAATGCGGGTGAGATCGTCCTGGGTTCCGTTGAGCAGGGCAACGCCAATGTGGGCTTGCTTGAGCGCGCCGACGTCGTTGGTGCCATCTCCAGCCATGAGCGTATAGTAACCCATGTCCTTCAGACCAAGAAGAATCTCTTCCTTTTGCTTGGGAGAGACACGAGCGTACACCCAGGTGTGGCGGAGCAGCTGGCTCCATCCAGGCTGTCCAACGAACTTGGCGAGGGCATACCCCGTAACGCAAATGTCCTTGTCCTCGATAATCTTGGAGTCAATAGGCTTGGTAGGGTCCACAGAGATGGAGATCTTGTCGTCAACACTCTTCCATACCAGGAGATCGCCGCCGTCATTGTCCTCAGGGGCGTCGAGAATAAGAGCATCACGATCCACAATCTCAACTTCGCGAGCGACGTGCACGGCAGTGAGAGGGTTGTCTCCGGTAATCATGACCACGCGGTGGCTGCTCTCGTTGAGCATCTGGACAGCCTCCTTGGCATCTTCCTTGAGGGGACAGTGGAGGACGAGGAAACCAGCAAAGATGAGATCAGACTCGACCTTTTCACGCTTCAGATCGTTGATTTTAGATGCGCCGAGCTCCGAGTCGATTGTGAGCTGCTTGTAGGCCAGGGCCAGGACACGCGAACCCTTGCGAGTGAAGTATTTGTAGGTCTCTTCGTAGTCGGTGGGCACCTTGATCAACATCTTCATAATGGTCTCGGGCGCACCCTTGACACCGGCAAAAGTACCCTTGATCTTCTGACCAGTGGTAGAGTCAGTGCCGTGGACCATGGCAACAGAACTCTGGCGCTTGAGAGCGGAGGAGAACTGGAAACGACGCTTGATCTGCACGTTGCCGTGAGCACCGCCAGCCTTGTTGGTACTGAACAGTTGATCATTCTTGCCAAGAGTCCAGCCAAGAGAGCCCAGAGTTGCCTTCTCCATGGGGTCACCGACCACATCGCCTTCGTCGAGCTTCACGAGCGCGTGGGCAGTTGCCAGAACCAGCTGAGTTTCGAGTGTGGCGTTCTTTACCGGGGTGATGGTCGAGTGAGCACCATCGCCCTCCCTCTTGTCGGGAACCTCTTCATGAGTCAGCCCCAGTCCAGCGATACCCTCCACCACCAGATCCTCGCCAGTCAGGGTGCCAGTCTTGTCGAAGCAAGCCACGTCGATGCGACCAGCAAAGGGGATGCGGAAAGGCTCGGTACAGAAGATGGCTAGCTTGGCAAGAGCAGCCAAGCTGGTATTGACGGCGAGACTCAGCTCCATGGGCAGCTCAGGCGGGACAACACTGGTGACAATCAAGATGCAGTCGAGCAGAAGCTTGGAGCGCTTGCGGTCCTTGCGAACACCTTCGTCCCAAACATACCAGGAGGCAGCAATGGCGAAGACCAGGAGGAACAGAATGAAGTAGAGTGCCTCGGCATCTCCAGCGCCAACGCGCTCGGTGGAGTAGATCATGGTGCGGACAAGGCTTCCCTGAGACGTCTCAAAGCCAGTCTTGACAACGATAGCCATGGCACCGTTGTCCGGGGGCGTCGGGACACCAGACGCCAGCTTGGGCTTCTCGACATCAGGGTTGCCATGCGTGATCTGGAGAACCTTGGTGCCGCCCCAAAGGAAGGAGTTCTTGTCGAGACCTTCGGGCTCAAGGGGAGCATCAGAGGGGCGAAGCTGGATGGAGTCTTTGAGGAGAGGGGTACTTTCACCAGACAGCATGGCTTCGTTGACGATGGCCGTGCCCTCTACCAGAAGCATGTCGCATGCAACGCCGCTATCTTCCTTGGTGCGTCCGACGGAGACCAGGTCGCCGGGAAGGAGCTTATCGCTTTGCGTCTCAACCCACTTGCCGAGTCGGAACACCCAGATACCGTAAGGCTGGATGCTCATACCACGGAACTCAGTGAGGGTACGCTGTCGCTGCCAAACAACGGTGCTTTCAAACGCCACCAGCATGAAGAGGGTGAACAAGGAGTAGTACCAGTATTCGTCGAGCAGCCAGAGACCAACGCAGAAGATCTGGAAGACGAAGAATGGCGCGACGGCGTGCTCTTTGAACAGCTCCGTGAACGTGGGCACGGGGATATCGAACGTGTTGGTACCATAATGTTGCTCGATGCGGTTGATCTCTGATTGCTTGTCGATACCGCGCGAAGACTGGTACTGGCCAATCTTGGGCTTGGGCTCGGCGTCGATCGAGTACTCGAGTGTTCGGAAAGACTTGGTCGCGTTGTCGTAGAGGAAACGGCGTTTCTGGAAGAGGAACGAGAGGTTGGTCTGGCCGCCAGCTTTATCGCGCACCAACTTGCAGATGTCTCCAGCGCCGGCGTTCGCGACGGGAAGAACCTTGATCAGCTGGGCATCCTCGATGGACTGCGCCTTGGACGCTGTGAAGCGCGCCGCAAGATTGATGCTCCAGTGGGTGCTGAGCCAGAAGAGGGACTGGACGGTGATGATGGCAGCGCACCATACAAAAGTCCATTCCTCTCCGCCGATCCAGATATCGTACAGTTCTTGCGACAGGTAGTAGCGCGCGAAAATGGGCCAGACAATGGCAAAGGGCCACACGTAGGCATGGAGGAAAAACGGAAGGGGTCGAAGCAGCTCGGCTTGCGAGATTTGAGCGCTGTCGACGAGGGGCGCCATGATGGCGGTTGTGTCGATGGTCTTGTTGACAATAAACCCTATACCATCAGACGAAATGCCAATGGGACGGGGGAAGGATGAGCGAAAGCGACTGTTTGGCGACGCGGTTGTCGTGAGCAATGGTTAGTGAAGGCGGCCGTGGGGTCGACTCTGTCGAGGACACTTTTCGGCTTCGCTAGAAATCCACAGGGTTCGTGTGGCGTTGGGGGGAGGAGACATATGGCGCATGCGCTAGATAGGTGGCGCAGTCTGTTCACAGGGTAGGTGGAATCAGGGCGCGCGTCTTCGGGTTGCGCCTTGGACCAGACTCAGACTTCTCACTGACATAAACGCTCATGTTCCACTCATTGTCGGAATATCTCGCTTCTGCCCTCTTCATTTCGACTCGTCTGCCCCAGCGGCACAAGAAAGCATGTCATTACATGTCAGGGCTGATATGCTGGGCGCGACACCTGGTTCAGTGTTGGGTTGGGTTGCAAATCACTCGCCCCCGAACGGGACCTGAGCGTCGAAGGGTCAAACCAGAGCGGAAGATTCTCTCATTTCGTCCTGGACATTTCAATGCTGCGTCTGAGACTTTGAGCAGACTAATAAGTTAGAGAGTGTGGACTGGCGACATCATGACCATGAGGCGGGCCGGCTGCCGGCCGCCATGCGTACGGACATGTACGAATTGCTTGTGACGCGTCAATCTTCGGAACCAGATACGTTCCGAAACGAGCCTATTCTCGATATGTCTGCCTCCGAGGTGCTTTGGAAACATCGCGTGGCGCATGCCGGCTCGCGCCAATGCTTGCATTGATCGTGCAAACAGGATCGGCAGCTCCCCGCCTGGAGGTGATTGGAGCGTGGCACTCCCAAGGGCAAATAAGCACGATCATCTTCCTTCTAGGAAACGTCATTGGGGTTTGTTGTTTGGAGTTGCCGCAGGGGATCCAGCCGTACTAAACCAGGAGAGGCTCGGAGGATGAACTCCCGTTCCCATATGTCCATGCAGCTGGTGGATGGGAGCAGCATGCTGGTAACGATTTAACTCAACGGGGCCAAGTAAGTCACAGATTCGGTATATAAAACAAGGCATCAATGCTCAGATATTCTGGGACACTCACGACACTTCTGCCACATCAAGCCTCCAAGCTACAATCTTCGCCAACATGTCCCCTTCCATCATCAAGACCGCCCTTCTCGTGGCCTCTGCCACCGCCCCCGTTCTAGCCGCCTCTGGCAGTGGCAAGACGACCCGTTACTGGGACTGCTGCAAGCCTTCCTGCGCATGGCCTGGAAAGGCGGCAGTCAGCTCTCCAGTCGCCATGTGCGACGCCCAGTGGAACCCTCTCAACAACCCTTCTGCTAGAAGCGGCTGCGATGGCGGCAACGCCTTCACTTGTGCCACTTACTCGCCTTGGGCTGTTGATGACAACCTCGCCTATGGCTTCGCGGCAACTGCAATCTCGGGCGGATCTGAGTCATCCTGGTGCTGCGCCTGTTACCGGTAGGTGTATCCCTGTAAGCCAGGAAGATTTGCAGTTGACTGACATATACAGTCTCACCTTCACCTCTGGGCCAGTTGCTGGCAAGAGCATGGTTGTGCAGTCGACGAACACGGGCGGTGACCTCGGCAACAACCACTTTGATATCCTCATGCCCGGTGGCGGTGTCGGCCTCTTTGACGGCTGCACTCCGCAATTTGGCGGTCTCCCTGGCGCCCAGTACGGCGGGATCAGCTCTCGCGATGAGTGCAATAGCTTCCCTGAACCGCTGAAAGAGGGCTGCTTCTGGCGCTTTGACTGGTTCCAGAACGCTGACAACCCAGATATTCAGTTCGAGCAAGTACAGTGCCCTGCTGAGCTCCTCAACGTATCTGGATGTAAGCGCAATGACGATGGTAACTTCCCCGCTGCTTAAGTACGGGCGCTGCTGGCCCCTATCTGGAGTGGCGATGGGGCTTTCGTGGAGAATAGTCTCGAGAGGCTCAATCCCTATCATTGGTCGCGTTTCGTGAGCAATAATGAGCGGATGTCGACATAGTCCTGGTGTACTTCCCGATCCTTCTTGTATTGCAGGAAGGCCTTGCAACGATGAGGCACCATGATTGTTGTCTCATAGTGGTCACTTCGAAGATGTTGTCATATAGCATGCGCAAATAGCCATGCAATAAGAGAAACAAGTCTTACCACCAACAATACTTTGGCTTGCATTGGCGTATCCGTGCTTCTTGCCTACGATGCTCGCGAGATGGTCGTCTTGGTCCGACTAGACCAAGCCACATTGAATATGCGTGGATGCATTGTGCATATATTCCCATACCTAAAGAATAGCTATATGCAGGGATCTTGGACGCGCGAGCACAAACCTCTTATACTTGAGTATTGGCGATTGTCTCGGCGGCTTTGTCCTTCCAATCCTCTCTCCATCGCGAAAGAGGTGGGCGTCCTTGCACAATATCGCCCACTGCGTACAGCATACGCTTCTTGTCAGTCTGCTCATCAACATCATTATCAGGGCAGATGATGTAGAACTGGTCCTCCGACATCTTCTTATAGAGGTAGTCGGCTACCTGCTCAGGCGCCCATGCACCCTCGGGCTTCTCCTTGCCAGATGCAGCTCCCGTCTGCGCACAAGTTAACAAAAAGGCTTCACGACAGGCGGACTCTGGAACCTACCAAGCCGGTGTGGGTCCAGCCAGGGACCAAGAGGTGAGCGCTCGTCTTGGTATCTCTGAGATCGAAGCTCAGCTGTTCGGCGAGCGACTTGACAGCCGCCTTGGAGGCATTGTAGGCGGGATTACCAGGCGGGTTGGTGATACCCTGCTTACTTCCGGTGATCACAATCGCCGTTGGCTTTGCTTCCGAGGCCTTTTTCACCACAGGAAGGAAAGCACCGATGCCATGGATGACGCCAAAGAGGTTCGTCTCGAGGGTCTTGACGAAATACTCTTGGTCACCCCATGAGCCTTTCATACCCGTGCCCGCGTTCAAGACCAAGAGCTCAATGCTCCCAAAGTCCCTCGCGACCTCCTCCTTGAGCCGGGACCAATCGACAGTGTTGGACACATCGACCTTTGAAGTGTGAACTATGCCATTGATCTGCTTCTTGGCGGACTCGAGGGCCTCCGCGTTGCGATCCGCAAGGATAACGTTCATGCCCTTGCTGTCGCACAGCTTGGCAATGGCGAGACCAACGCCGGAAGCGCCGCCAGTGATGAGTGCGGTCGAGCCGGAAGCGAAGACGTCAGCAGCGACCATGGTGGAAGGATTTTGTGTAATGTCTGGGGTAGTGTGGAAAGTGCGTGGTCTATCGATGGCGAACGATGGCGAGTCCGTGTCTGACGGCGAAGTTAATAAGTATTGCCTCGCTGCTTATCTCCGCATGACGTGAACGTCTTCTCCCCAGTGCCGATCTGCTTGATGATTGATCGGAGTTTCGGTCATAAGACGGGCGCTCGTTCCGGTGGTCATACTCATGCTGGCATCAGGACTGTCCAAACACGAAGTAGTCTGACTCAATGAATATGAGCTCACATGTATCTCTTTCTTTCAGAGTCCGCCAGCAATGCTGTGATCTCGTCCACCATCATAAAACACAAGCTTCTCCAAGACTAAGTAGCCGTGTACTACCCCGGAGATCCGGCCCCATCCGCTGGGCTCCATACTCCATCGGTCGCCCGCCCGCCCGTTCACCAACTCCTCATAATCAGGTGGACCAAACACTATAATAAATCACACTCATTTAGAGGAGCATTCTCTTGATGGGCATCACAAGGAATGGGCAGCATTTCCACCAGATCAGGGTCCTGTCAGGGCGAAACTCGCGCTAATAATTTCGCCGACTGGGCACTTGGACAGGTCATCTGCCAAGAGTGCCTATTTACTCAATGTGGGAGGAGAGGCCTGAAGGATGCATGTTGGCCTGGCGGCAGATGGTCGAGACGCCAGATCTCGTCCATAAAGACCCCATGCTATGATTGGGGGTGACCAACTGCTACGTTTCAACTACGAAATGAGTGGCAGCGTCCGACCACATGCATTACTCTACTCATCTCACGCGCATTGATTGTGTCTGCAAACGTGCGCGCGGCGGGCTTTGGTTCCTGTTTCGTCGGAGATGCGTATTAGCCTCCCCGATTCAAGTCCAGAAAGAGAAGTGACACTGGCTGACTCCTTGTCTGGACCCCTGGAAAGGGTTGCCTTCGTCACGCACCCAGCGCTTAAGAACTGTCCTGAAATTAGCATAGTTCGGCGCATTCTTCGTGAGTTTTCTCGGCGAGAACTTTGGAAGGTTGTTCATCGTGGTGTCGATACTGGACGGTTTCTTCATCCGCTCTACCTTCGAGAAGCCCTAGGGTCGAGAAACGAGATCTGTGCCACCATATCATCTCGACAAAGGCAGATGATCGTCTCAAGGGATGGCCATTGTCACTGCGCTGAGCACGCGCATGAACTACTCCGCATCTGGCGCTTGTCAGGGGCAGTCATGTTCCCCGTTCAGGGTCGTATGCAGCAGCACCCTTGTTGGTCTGGCAAGTCCAACCTCAGGCTGACACTGGCCTCTTCACCCATGACAGTAACCTGTTAGAGGTTGCCTGGAGCTGGTCATTGTCTCGTTCGTTGCAACGCTGCGATGCCCACGGGTCGGTGGTATAAGTCGGTATGGCTCCAAGGGCCGAGCACGCGACCTTCCCAAAGTCGCAAACACCAGGAGGACAGGGCTTGCCCATATATCCCCCAGAAATTCACCCATGGCGGTTCAGTATATAACCTTATGCAGACGCCGATCGCTCGTCACATCCTCAGTTGATCACCAACTACAGACGCACTCAACAGTCACTCCTTTCCCCCAGTGGCTCTGGAAGCCACATTGCCTTCTTTACCTCGTGTATATATATATCCCAAGCACACCCCACATACAATGGCTCTCCGCCTCCTTACTACACTCCTTTCGCTCTCGGCGTTTGCCACGGCCTGGGAAGCCCCTCAATATGGTGGCTTCAGCAGAGTCTGGCAGGAGACCTTTCCCGGCGCAGCTGGCACCCTGCCCAACGAGGGTACCTGGACGATCCTGAACGGTGACCTGGGCGTCAACAATGAGCTCCAGGTCTACAAGCGCGACCCTCGCAACGTCCAAATCAGCGGTGGCAACACGCTTCAACTCGTCCCCTGGCGGGACGGCTCGCAACCCAAAGGCTGGACCTCGGGCCGCATGGAGAGCAAGTACACCTTCACCCCCGAGGCTGGACGCGTGACGCGCGTTGAGGCTGCCATCATGTTCGGCCCAAGCCCGACAGGCAACAAGCAGGGTATTTGGCCTGCTTATTGGATGCTGGGAAACTCAATTCGTCAAGGTACGGTTTGGCCTGCTTGTGGCGAGCTGGACATCATGGAGACCGTCAACGGCCAGCTCATCGGGCACGGCACGGTCCACTGCAATGTCTATCCCGGCGGCATCTGCAACGAGGGCAACGGAATCGGCAGCAGCATCGGTTTCCCAGACCAAGGGTGGCACACTTGGCGCCTGGAGATTGACCGTCGCAGTGGCAACTACCTGGACCAGTCCATCAACTGGTACCTGGATGGTGTCCACTTCCACCAGGTCACCGGTAGCCGCATTGGCAACGCCCAGGTCTGGGCGTCGCTTGCGCAGAGCCCGCTGTTCTTTATCCTGAACGTGGCTGTTGGTGGCGATTGGGTGAGTCAGCCAAGTTTCCTAAGAGTGCCAGTACTAATTACTGACTTGACGTAGCCCGGATCTCCAAACGGCAACACCTGGGACGGCTATGGTTCTCGCATGGAGGTCGGCTACGTTGCCCATTACGTTGGATGAACGTGTCTTCCGACATGGACACGCGAGGGTCCGGGGCCCTTTTCTTCTTCGATTCTTCCGTATATACTGATCAATGATGTGAATATGGGTGCATAAACAGCCGGATTTCCTATTGTCTTTTGCCGTTGCAGAGTTTGCGAAAGCACTGTCGTTATCTCAAACTGAATGATATTGATCTATTGCTTGTCAATGCTACCCGTTTGTCTAGCATGCGTATGTAGGCTGTAATTGCGCTACAGTGACTTTTGCAAATGTCTGATTTCAGTCACTGCTTGCTGGTGCGTATCTTCCTGTAGGTCGAACATCCTTTGTAATTCGTCGACGAGAAAACGCGGCGCTGACGTCTTTTTGCCTTGGCGGTAGTCGTATACGACAATGTCTTCAAAGCATCGCGCTGCGGGCCTTTGATGCTTGTGCGAGAGGATCACAACCTCAAGCTTGATACTGGTCAAGTCGTCGCTTGGCCTCTCGAGTAGCTTGTGCAGAACGGTGACTGTGTCGGGATACACAATGGGCTAGTTGCCATATCAGGTCAAGAGCCGAGCTGTGGCTTTGCTTCCAGACTCACCAGTTTGTAGTCTGTCTTGATGCTCTTCAGGATCAATCCAACTCCCTTTGGCGCCCAGAGGCCTTCCCACTCCGGCTGTAGTTCAGGTCTCGCAACCTTGGCCAAAGATCTGAACCAGTTGATCCTCGCAGACTCTGCGTACTTGTTGTATACGACGTTGTTCACGTGTCCTGAGCGGAGTCAGCCCAGTGTTTGGTGTGCCCATGTATGTGTATCAGCAAGTGATTTCCCTGCAACGTACGTACCCTTTCGCAGTAAGCCCTGGGTCCTTAACTCGGCACTGTCGACCGTTTATCACTTACCATGCTGTCCATATCGCCCCAAACTACCGTGTGCCTATCCAGACCAGCGTGCTCTCCACCAACGAAGCCTTCAGCCCCAGCCGACAATTGAAGCCACCGATCATTGAGTGTCATCAGTATACGACTGGAAGCGTCGTTATCCTTCCTCTTGGCTTCACTTCGGAGATTTGAGAGCCATCGAGGGTCGACGCCATTTTCGACGGCCGCTGGCGCAGAGTGGTTAACATAACCAGTACCTTGGAAATTGCGCCTGGACCCCGGCAGAGCCAGCTGCCATGAGCGTCTTGAGAGAGTTGGTATGTGACGATACATCTGGTACAAGTGTTGCGGCTTTCTCAATCAGATCACAGAATGATGGATGCCGATGTCACTTGAGATCAATGATCAAATGACGAGTGATCGCGTCTCAGTTGTGGATGTCCACGGGCGGCTAACCTCGGCAACACAGTCAAATTGTCAAACTACCTACCCGGTGCATCGATCAACACAGCCAAGCTCGAGCCGAAGAGAATGTATTAATCAGGGCGTTTAAGAAAAGACGACCACTGGATTAGTTCCCAGTTAGGTCATGGTCAACGAATAAAAAACGTTTGAGCCGGTATGAAAATGCTAGGGCAAGCCGAACAATCTTTGTGCGTGTGTCGACTTGGCCAAGCTCAGTTCCGTTCGCAGCGCACCATTGATCATAGTTTTCAAGATCTGTGGCGTCGATTGACCAGCTTTAGACAGAAATAAATACATTGGTTCATAAAACTGTTTACAACAACCGACTACCGTACTCCAGGTGATGCGTGCTACCTGTGCACAAGCAAGTACATATGTATATGAAACGTAAGAAAACATGCAGACACCATATGCCATCAGAAGACTGGCCAGTCCAGCTAGGCCCTCTACCTCACATGAGCGGTGTTTGCATAACTCTGGCGACGACTGGCCGAAGGAGTGCCGCGAGGGGTACCACGCGGAGTGACACGGTTCTCGCCGAAGAAGCGGTTCTGCTGGCTGTAGCTACGCTCGCCCATACCGGGATGTCGCTGAGCCCCGGAAGCTGCTGAGCTGCGACGGCGTGTTGGGTCGTAGGCGACACTGACGCGGCGACCGTCGGTAGGCTGCTCGTTGCGGGCCTCGGCCAGCCTCTGGGCAAATGGCGACCTCTTACGCAGGACGGGGCCCTTCCAATAGATGACGTAGACGGCGACGACGAGCACGAAGGAAATGCAGAACAGAATCGTGCTCGCATACTCGAGATTCTTGCCGGAGCTGGCGCCAATGTTGGAGAAGAAGGGCACGGCGGGGACGGTGAGGACACCAGCCAGGAAGTCACGAGCCCACCCGTTACCACCGGTGGCGGAGGCCGAGTAAGGACCGTAGGCGCAGATCATGTAGTCGATTGTGGCCATGTAAATGGCGTAGTTGGCGATGCCGACAATGGCCGCGAAGATCATGGACCCAATCCAGTGAATAGGGGGGCCCTGGATGGTCCATGCAAAGCCGATGAGACCAATGGGCAGGCAGGGCGCTGTGTAGAGCAGGAACCACAGGCGCGACTCGTACTGGGCGCGCTCGTCGTTCGGGTGAGCTTCCCTCTCCTTGATGTTGCGTCTGATGGCCGGAATGAACAAGAGCCAGGCTATAACGTAGCCTAGTCCAATGGCGATGAAGGTAAGGCCGATCTGCACGGTAGTGAAATCCCACTGCTTGTACACGAGCGCAAAGGACTGGATGAACATGAAGATGAGGGCGTCTGAGAAACCAGAGAGCAGCGAAAGGACCAGGACAATAGGCTCGGTGAGGAACATCTTGAACGGTCGGATCCACGTTGTCAGGATCTCCTTCATGGAAAAGCGATCCTTGAACGAGACAAGCTCATCGGGACCCCAGATGTTCATTCCTGGGTTGGCCTTGCGGCGCTTCTTGGCGATGCGGTTCATCATAATGGTGGTGCGCGTCTCGGGGACGGTGAAGAAGTGAATGAGCTGGATGACACCGCCCAGGATGAGTTGGATCCAAATGGACCACCTAGTGTGACGTGTTAGTCTAGTCCGTTCAGCACCTTGCGACGGATGGAAACCTACCTCCAGTTGAGGTACGCCTCAGTGAAGCCACCGACAATAGGGCCAAGGACGGAGCCGCCGACGGACGAGAAGACGACGTAGGCAACAGCGTATTGCTGGACGTCCGCCTCCCACATATCGGCGACCATGCCCAGTGTGACGGAGCCACCAGCGGTGGAGAGACCGCCGAGGGCGCGGCCGACCAGGACAGTCGCAAAGTTGGGTGCCAATGCGACGGGAATCTGCCAGATGTTGACCAAGAGGAGCGAGAGCTGGAGGATGGGCCAGCGTCCGAGCTCCTCAGACCAAGGAGCCCACAGCTCGCAGCCGAAAGCGTACGTGACCAGGAAGATCATGGCACCGCATCGCGCGGCCTGCAAGCTGACGTTGAACTCCTCCGCGATGCCGGGGATGGCGTTGGAGTACAGCGATGTGTTGAAGTTCATGGACACCTGCACCCAGAAGATGATGGTGAGAATGTACCACTTCTTCCACGTGGGGAACTTGAAGCCAAGCTCATCGTAGCAGTCGTCCTCTGTGATTTCGTACTTGTCATGCGTCCCGAGTTTCTCGAGGTTACCGCCATTGGCGGTGGTAGGGCTGTCGAGAGACTCGGCGTTGGTTTGGGCCGCCTCCGTCTCGACATCTGTGTGGGAGCCAGGACGTTCGTCCTGCGGCTGCTGTTCGTTGGTGCGCAGCTTCTCGCCGATTTCCGCCAGATCATCCTGCCCCAAGACCTGGGGTGGGTCGTCTGAGAAGTGGGTGGTTCTGGGAGCCATGATGAGGCGCTTGACTATCGCGAACACGTGTTAGTGAGTCTCTCACGAGCCAGACAGCACGGACGCTACCAACCTTTGAAGGCAAGTCCAAGCCCAGGTGAGATAGATGTGTGATGAAGTAATGAATAGGTCAGAGAAAAGTGTGTTAGCAAACGGATGCCCGTTCCCTCTTAAGTACCGCTTCGCATCGATGATCGGATTCTTGGGAATGGGCGCAATTTTGGAGTGAAAAATACATAACAAGCCGTAGGAAAACACACCCTTCATCCCACGGGTGGTGTAGGCTTCTGACATCATGGCTCGATGTATAGCGCTCGAGCGGATCCCTCGTGCTTCTGTTGAATATCCATATTTCCCGAGTCTGATGGGATGGTTACCCCGGGAGCGCGCAGCGCCAAAGGCAGAATTAGACCGTGAGACATACGCACATTCCTGTCGAGTGACGAAAGGCGCGGCCACGGTAGCCAGGACAGGATCCTCCGGCACGCGAGGGCCGTGGGGAAGAGCTTCTTTAGAGTTGATCGCTTAGGTGCTTGACACCTGGGGAACGTCGATCCACGACGGTGGAGGGTGACAATGACATGTTGGTCCAGGCGTTGCGGCGCCCGCTGCCCATGTCACCGTCACACACACAATCTGTGCGCAATTGATAACTTGGCTATGCGTACGGCCTGCTGGTTGCTGGCAGCGAGTTGTCGGTTGCTGGCGGGCACAATCTAACATGTCTTGGTTATCAGCCTTGGAGATGCCAGACCGTCCCATCCACCTGGAATACCGCCGACGAGCCTCATTCCACGCCGCCCAAGTGCAACTCCTTGGCGTCGCGGCATTGAGAACCCTGCCAAGATGACCCTGGGCCCTGGCTCCAGCACCGTAGTTGTTCTTTGGCTGCCTCAGCAGGCTACAGCGAGAGCCTCTTTGACCGCTGTGTGTGTGTGTGTGTGTGTGTGTGTGTGAGAGCCGCATCGTAAAGATGGTGCACAAAAACTCCGATCTGCCATTGCCCCATCGATGACGATGATGGACGTGACTTTCTGTGCTTTGCGTCTGGCTGTGAGGCCTCTCGTTGGAGGAGGAAAGGATAAAATGGCACCTCCCGGTCCTCATGTGGGGATCATCCGGCACGCCTTTGCCGGATGGAGTTTCGAGAAGAGCGACTCCCGTGCGCCGCCCAGCCTCCCGTCACCACCTCCGGTCGTGTGTGTGCTTGTCACAGCCACGGCCTTTTCAAGTTCATTTCGACGGCAAGTTCATCACGATGCGGGGATGTTCAACAAAGAGCCCACGCGTCAAAGCCAAGGCTTCCAGATCATGGAGATCAGCTCGCGATGAACTGAGGCCACCCCAGGCGGTTCCTCTGTCGTGAGTGTGACTCGGCTCCATCGCGTGTTGGCTCACCGTACGGGCGCCACATAGCCTGGTCGATTGAACCTCCACGATTCCCGTAGTATACGCGTGAGCAAACGTCATCCCGCTGAAGTTGAGCCCATCCATCCATCCACTACGTATGTATTATTACCCGGGCTTTCGGGGTTCTGAGCTGACGCCCATGACGATGTTTTGCTGACATGAGCATGCATGTGTACGCGATGTCAAGACGACGCCGTCGAGGCGGTGACAATGACAGCCACCAAAAGTAGCCATCGAGTGATCCTTCATCGTTGGCCCTTGTTTTCACTTGACGACGATCAGGTTCTGGTTCACCAAAGCCGAGTCGGGCCACGCGACAGGTCCGAGCCGCAACTGGGGGGAAGAGCCGCAAGTCCCAGGTACGGACGGTGCCTCATCCTCAAAGTTTGGACGACACGCAACCTTATTGGCGCTGCGTGAACCATGGCACGCATGGGAATATCTGTACCGTGATCAAGTTCAGATTCACATGTGGCCATCACAAGTCACTTTCGCACTTGTGCTCTCCATTTTGTGGTAGACACGCACCCGAGTTTCAACAACGAACAGACATCTTGTTTCAAGGCACACTCTCGTGGGGAGGATGAGATGGCTGCTGGCCTGGGCGGCATCGAACGACCCCGGATTCCCCAGGATCGCTCCCCAGCCCCTTGACATGAATGAGAGCTCACCGAGGCCTGACTCCTGAGGGCAACGCTGTGGATCCAATCCTTCTGAGGAGTCAGGACTGAGGCTGCTGCCGTGGGGATTAAGGTCCCACGTCGCCATGATGACGGCATCTTTCAATGCCTCACAAGTCGCAACATGGGGTGCAGAGGGTCATGCCACGCCAACCAAACGCAGGAAGAGGCTGTTCTGCGGATAGAAAACGGTACGAGGTGAACGTGCAGCCGAGGCTTGACTATAGCAGATTGCCCAGCTCGTTGCTCTTAGACGAGTACTCCTAGGGAGATTGCTGTGGACGTATATCCTGCACAAGTTGTTAGCCTCGCCCAAGGAAACGGATACAGTATCGTCGAGGACCCAGAGTACTCTACAGTGTACCCTAGGAGGATACCCTAGGAGGATAAGTTCTCGACGCCCTCCCATAATTTTCCCATTCAATCCTTTGCTGACGACAATATGCCAAAAGTAGCAACTGTCGATCCAAGAGAAGACGAACTTCGCTGGCCGAGTATACAACACTCTTTGATCCATCTTGTCGATGCCTCGCGATGCTGGGAACCAAGCTTTTGCTGACTCGAGGCTGACTCCAGCCCATCAAAGTGAAAGCTTAGCTTTGAGCCGTCTCGTCGCATGCACAGCTGCCTTCCTCCGGCCCTTCTTCCTTCGAGTTGGATTCTTCCTTCGAGTTGGACCAAGTGCATCTCAAGCAATGTGGGAGTTTGCGCCGTTGCGGACGATGATCCAGTCAAGACACAAATACGCCTTCTTGTAGAAGAATTGCGGGAGGGCAGAGTGCCTGCGTTGAAGAGGGCTCAAAGCAATTGTCGCGTGGTCGTCTTTGTTCTTGGGAAAGTGACATGGGCCCAAGTCATGATGAACGTGATGTTTGCGCCACATCTACGGACTAGTCACGTCCATGGACGGTGCGTCCGACTCGCGACACGTGCGCGTTGTGGCGCCAGCGGCAGAACCCTTATTGTCCTCACCAGAACACCTCAATCGAAAGTTGCGCTTCAATGCTCATTGCCATTGATAAGATCGCATAGTTCATTTATCTCACGCGCCGAGAAATCGACCTGCTGATGATTTGAGCCGTGCAGAAAAAGAGAGGACCGATGTTGTAGCGCAGACTCCACTTGGCTGTGGAAAATTGAAGGCCTCGTGAGTCTTTAAAAAAAACACATTATCCGCTGCCTGCTTGGCGCTCTGCTCAGCCCAGTCCCCGCCGCCGCCTGCCAGTGCACATTGGTATCCACTGTTGGCCGGCGGAGGGCCCTGGATGCCGCTGCAGTCGACTTCTCGACCACTGAAAGATTCCCATCTCGCTGCCCGCTTCAGTCATTCAGCGCCCTCCACTGGACGGACGATGGGCTAGTCGACCTTTTAGTCTGGACCCGCGACTCATCAATCTACCGCTCCGCCCTGGGCGGATCATGCGAAGCGCCCAAGGAGGGACTCAAGCTCTTCATTCGCGATCGCTGACCGACAATCGCCCATTCGAGGGTCCTCCTTTGACATTGACCACGCGAACCGGCAGATCGTTTCTCACGCGATACGTAGCCACTTTCTCGCTATCACCCTGCCCGCCTCGCCAAGGGTCCAGAATTCTCCCCCGTCAGCGATCGCTCGCCAACAGAGACGCCTGCCCACCCCACGACGCACACGCCCGAGTGTATCGCGCCCTGCATCAATCGAATGCACCATGTCGGAGGACGATGTTGACGTGATGGGCGTCGAGGGGCAGGGCGGCCCAGCACGTGTCGATCGCGACCGGAGGGCGCCCCGTTTCAGCTGGACCCCGGCATACGAAGCGACCTTCTTCCGGAGTCTCTGCGAGAGCGTCAATCTGGGCTTGCGAGAGAACAGCAGCTTCAAGGCCGAGGCATGGGAACGAGCCGCGCAGGCTCTGCAGGCGACACACGGCGCGTACCCTGCCAAGAGCCACCTCATCAACAAGAGCGACAATGCGAGGAAACGATTCCGCCTCTGGCGAGGCCTCCGTGAGGATCCAGAGTTCATCTACAACCCACACGCGCGGACCGTCACGGCGACCGAGGAGGCTTGGAGGGCACATATCGAGGTGAGACCCGCAGGAGCAGAGCAACAAGGCGACCCATGCTGACTGACGCTTCCCAACAGAAAGAGCCGCTGTCGCGAGCGTTGCGAGGACGGCCGTATGAACACGAAGACTTTATGGAAATCCTATACCCGGATGTGATAGGGTCAGGGGGTGCCCCCAAGAGGATAATGAAGCCTCGAAGGCGGACAGATGGCGCACTGGGGGACGACATTGAAATGCCAGGCACAGGCGTGCTCAATCTGGGGTCAGAGGGACAAGGCTCGCTCGCCAGTCCAAGCCAGCAACCGAGACCAACCCTCAGCCAGACGCCCTCCGGATCGTCCAGCGGCTCACTCCCTACCCAGCCGATGCAACCGCCAGCCATCGCTCCCAATCTAATGCCCACACCAATGGCCTCCGTCGCCTCAGGGAGCGCGCTCACACCCCCAGATGAAATACCAGGACAGGGCCAGAGTCACAATTTGGCGCGCAAACGCCGTCAAGGGCCAGCCACGGGGTCTGTGGACGCAACGGCATCTCCTGGGCTGGCGGACACATCCACGGCCTTCACCCCGCATAAGCGGCGGCGCATGTCGTCGAGAGACATGCAAGCTGGGTCGAGCACGTCTGCGCCGGGAGGAATCGGTGCGCTGGGCTCTTCGACCGTTGCGCAGGTTGTCACCCCCATTGTTGAGGAGATTCTCGAGGCAATGAAGGCCCGCGCACTGCCGCGGTGGAGGGAACAGGCCCTCGACATGTTCTTCCGGGATTTCGCCGCGGAAGAGTACGACCTGCAGGTCAAAATCTCCGAAAACGTGCTCAGCAACGAGCACAAGGCCATGGTGTTTTGCAAGATGCCCGAGCGAGTGCGGCAGCATTGGGTCAGCAAGTTTCGCGAGATGCACCAGCTCAACAACAGGACGACATAGCACAGGGAAGAGAGGACTGTGTGGAACATATTCGAACCGTATACGAATGGTAGTCCTGGAGTGGTCTACCGGGGCTTCTGGGAGCGATGATACCCGGGTTGGGCGTTTTGAAGTTGATGCGGACCGGTTCTTGGGCGGATGCTTGTCAGGATTTGAGCTTTCGCTCGTGTGGTGGGCGTTTGATAGCAGTTACCTGCGTGAATGTATATTGTCATGTGTATAAAACTTGGCTCAAAACGAGCACTGAACATATCACTCATCCTGCCTCGCGCCAAAGCATCGGTGAAATCGCAAGACAATCTCCCATTGTCACGAGTCCTAGTTTCAAATCACATAGGACAAACGTAATCGCTGTAGTAGATTGTAGACCGTGGTATAATCATACTTGAATCTCACACCCAAGAGGGAAGAACTTCGGTGTAGGGTAGCTCATAACTGGTTTGAGACTGCGGGTTATCGCGCGACGCGCTCAGGTGGTGCGTGACGTCACACCAGTATCGGGTACGTCCGGCGGGTGATCATGAACCTGAGGCAGGCTCTGGCGCTTGTCCCTGCCAGGGCAGAAGCAGTAGTCTGATCTCCGCGTCACAAGACAGGTTTCCAGCATTTCTCACCACCGCATACTCGAATAGCAAATCAAAGCCTCTTCGCCAGTCGTCAATTTGGTCTCCCCACGTCCTCCTTCCTATACAAACCACCAAGAGTAAGTTGCGCGCAATGGCCCCGCGACCCTGTCGAAAATCGTCAGTACTGATGACGCGATGTAGTGTCCTACGCCGATATTGCTGCCAGCGGCCCCAAGCAGGCCCCCGAGGACGTAAGTTACAATCCAAAACATCCCTCTGTGAAAATCGCAATGTTGACAACGATTGCGACAGGCTGCTGCCCCTCAGCCTCCTGAGATCGTCCCCAACGAGTCTGCGTCCACTGCCTCCCTCGTTGACGTCGACATGCCCAGCGTGCACACGGTGCCCTCCGACTTCCAGGAGCAGGAGGTCAAGACGGAGACCCAGGCGCAGCGTCTCGAGCGCGAGGCCGAGCAGAAGAAGGTCAAGGCCAAGCGCGAGGCCAAGAAGACGGACAACTGGCTCACGGAGCAGTTCGCCAAGCTGTCCGATGGCAGCGCCGGCGCGCTCGCCATTGCCAACCTCGCTGGTGTCGTCGGCCTGAGCGCATACATGGGCTACAAGGCCTGGGGCCTGTACGAGCGCGGCCGTCTGTCGTACCAGAACGTGGGCGTTGGCGTCGGTATCCTCGCCGTCGTCGGTGCCGCCGAGGGCGTCTTCGGGCGCTATCTGTACAAGGGCAAGAAGGATGAGTCGTCCTAGTGGGGGGAACAACAGGCTTGTGGGATTCAATACTCCGGGAGGGAGCAACGGCGTCGGGTTAGTGACAATGGCGACGGCGGATACAGGGCACGGGTTTCTTTTTCGTCTCTTCTCAACGATACCGCGTACTTATTCCAGTCATGTTTCAGATACTGCATCTACCCAAGCTTAGTGAGTGGTCTGTTCAGTGATTACCGTTGTTGATGCGAGCACTGTCTCGCTCACCTGCTGGACAGCAACTCGGACATGTCACTGCCCAGGTCCTCGTCCATGTTTGTTGTTGTCTGCCACCGCAGCTTGTTTTGAACAGGCCAGTTACGTGACGTTAGTCATCCTATTTACACCAGTCTATTTACTGTTCAAGTCAAATCAATGATGGGTATATCCAAGTCACAATCACCAATCATCTTTCCAGGATCCACGGAAGAGATGCCTCGCTAACGCTGCCGACGGAACGCTCCCATCATTGGAGCTATGCGAATGCTGCTGACCCATTCCAAAGCCATCAATCGGCAAGACAAGAATGTCCCCAAACAATGTGGGCTCTTCCATATAAGAGAGATCGGCTGTTGTGTTCAAGGATGGATCAAACGCTTGTAAATGTTCAAAGACGATCTCGGTCCAAGCAGCAGGACCTGTGGAGTTCATGACTTCCAACGTCGACAAGTGTAGGTCGACAAAAGCCCGCTCCCCTTGGTTGGCAAGCTCCATTATGGAGCGTAACGCCCGTGCTATCATGCCCTCGAAGACAGGGTGGCCTGGGGCGGCGGCGATGGTCCACTGGCAGAATTGGACCCAGTGGAAGATGCCAGGCCACGGACGGTCGTCCCGGCGGTCGTACTCGATCCCGACAACAAGCCGAACTTGATCTCGAATATCGGCTGGGATCCATTGGTCGACTCCTCTGATAGCTACAGTATCAGTGTCTGTGTAAACACCTCCGTGAGTGTGGAGAACACCGTAACGCAGCAGATCAGACTTCATTGCCACGTTTGGCAGGTCCTCGAACACCTTGACTACCTGGGGTTGTTCTGGAAAGGCTTCCAAGATTAAGTCGTTGGCGCCCTTGGGACCTATAAGAGTGCTGGGTGAAGTCGTTAGCCATGTACCTCAGCTTGACGATCTTGCCACTTACTAGCTGAAGTCTGGGTTCAGCGCAAGCCACGAAGCCGTATCTCCAAGCTGGTCCGGCGTAATAGGGTCGCTTGATCCGGCTTTGGGGAACATTATTTGCCATATTCGAGGTGGAATCAAACTCATTGAGACTGGAGAGATTTCGATGATCGCCTCGTCTTCCAACGTCGTCGAGCGAAGTAATGTCATCGCGTAATCGTGTGAAAGCCACCATACTGAGAGCATCAGAAGTACGCCAGCACTGACTCTCAGTACTCTGATACGCCTTCGGCCAACGTGATTACGTTGCCACCTCGGAACATCCTGGCGCGGGAGGAAGGTCATTGTGAATTGCTGTGACAGGAGTGAGCTGGCACAGAGCATAGGTACGAAAAGGAAGTGAGATCGAGGACAGAGAGCCCTTCATAGGCGAGCGCAGACCTCGTTCCATTTGAATAGCTGATATAGCCTTGTTCAAATGACTTACCATTGAAGAGTCAGAAGAAGTGCGACCTGAACGCGACCTACGTACATGTATGGCGCCTACAATTTTCATGCTATTGGGCCATCTGCCGATATCACCAACAGTCTTTGGTGCATGCCGCCGTGTGTAACCTCAATATCGTCCAGGCGTTTGTTCTGCGAAGGAGGATTGCCGTCCATGCATGATGGAGGAGTAAATGCGTTTACCTGAGATGTCAAGTAGTTCTGCCATTGGCCACAGGTTCTTCAACTGCCTCTCATAAGCGCGCCGGCGGCTATAAATGCACTGATTGCAGGTTATGGAAGTCTGCACAAGACCAGCCAGGGCCCCTTGTTCGTAATGTATGGCCATTTTCAGACCTCAGAAAGCTGTTGGCCGTCGGCTGGGTGGACGGAAATAGACCGCTTCACCTCGAAGCAAGGTGTATTTCCCGGAGTTACCGCTGTGATGGCCTCGATTGGAATTACGTCCAGTAAACACAACGAGGGTAATGCTGATGGAGTCCATCATACGTACTCTAATCATGAGGTAAATATACACGGGACGGCCCTCCGTAAGGCCGACCGCATAACTACTATACATATTCTAGTCAGCTGATGTACATTCTATTGCTTCTTGTTTCCCTCTGCATCCTCTTTGTTGGCCTCGGCAGGGGTTTCCTCAGCCTTCGAGTCCTTGTTCGCATCGGTTGCGTCCTCCCATGGCGGTGGCGCCTGGCTGTCGGCGACATCGACACCTGTGGTGTGTGCTGACTCCAGCTTCTTCTCGCTCTCCTCGACATGAGCGCTGGCGGGTACATCAGACCTCAGCTGTTGCTGGTCCTCGGTAGCGTCAGCGGGGGCTTTCGGCTGAGCAGCTGTCGAAGCCTCGGGGCTGGCAGCAGCAGCACCCTCTGTGTCGGCCTCCTCGTCGTCTGCCAGCTCGGCACCATAGATCTCGGGGTACTGGCGGAAGCATTCTTGCATCCCACTGGCAAAGGTTAGCGACGGGTGGCATGGTAGGGTGGATCACGAGTCACGCACGAGAACTTTTCGATGCAGTCCATGCCCTTGGGCTCCTCGGTGGAGAAGACAAAGCAGCTGAAGGCCGTCTTGAACTCCTCGCCACAAGGACCGTGGGCCATGCCGCCGAGACAAGGGCAGTCCCAGTTGATCTCGCCCGTCTCGGGGTTGAAGGCGCCTTCCTGGCCAGCCTCCTCTTCTAATGCGCCTGCGCCTTGCGCCTCGGGGGCTTCCTGGGTCGTCTGTGGCGCGATGGGCTCGGGTGTTACGCTCGAGGTATTCTCCTCAATCTCCTTCTGGATTTGCTTCCGCTTCTCCTCGAGCACAGAGTCGACGGTGGGGAGTTCGGACTCATCGAATGATGGCGGTGCGGCCACGGTTCGCGCTGAGATGTTAGCACAGGGATCTAGTATGGTATTTGGTAGGTGTCGTACGCGCAGACTCCTCGGCAAAGACATTGCTTGTGTTGTAGTAGTAAAGCGCGGCACCGGCGGCGCCCCATCGCAGTGCTGAGCTCTTCCAGCTTCGAGGCCTGTCGGCGGGAGATTTTGTCGACGCAAAACGGCGCGAGCATGGCTGCTGTGAGCGCACGCTACGCAGAAGAGGCCTGGCGGCCGAGCGCAAGGATGTGCGATACATGCTGAGCGAGATATGGTGGACGCTGGAATTCGAAAAGGACGGCGCAGCAGGAAATCTTTCGAAGCGTCAACGAATTGGTAAGCCTCAAACCCACATGCGTGCCGTCATTGTCCGAGAGCACGGAGTTAGCCGACGTTTATGCGGATGGGCACTGTTCGGGTGACACCTTAACAATTCCACGAGAACATACTTAATCGTGCGTAGACAGCCGAAGGTACGAAAGATATTGGGAACCAGACGGTGGATTATTCTCGTCAGACAACAACACGTATGGCATGTCAATTGGATGTGTTGACTGCCGGGTGGAGGCTGGCCGCCCAGGCCACTCGGTGATACGTTGGCAGACGCACGTCTAACACACCAACCCGCAACCAACACGTGCGAGATCGGCTGTCGCATTGCGTTTTGACACGCGTAGGAAGGTAAGGTAGGAAAGCTTAAGATTTACGTCCTCAGGTGCGGGCTCCTTCATATTTGAATTAAGGCTCAACTCTTGCTGTGCAGCCACATTACCCAGGAATCACACCATAATCACCCAGATTCGAAGAGCTTTCTTGATTTCCCCGCTTCCGTCACTCTACGGTATATCTTGAGCTTGAGCTAGCCAGTCCTACCCGTTCATCCGCCAGATCCAACGATTCCGAAGCTGGGAGCTGGGAGCTGCACAATTTGACCCACCATCTTTACACAAACACACACGCGCACACCATCTCAGCCATGGCAGTCCCGGAGTCGGTCATCGAGTGGAAGCCAGCCAAGCTGCTGCAGAGCCGCGAAATCGCGCCCGAGTTTGCACTGCTCGTTCTCAATCAGCCATTGCGTAACAGTCACAACCTCAGAAAGCTATGGAGAAACTGTAAGAGCAACTCCCAACTGTTCTGCGGGAAGCGTGGGGCACGACTGACGCTGTGCAGCTTCGCTGAGAGTAGCTGCCGATGGCGGCGCAAACCGTCTGCATGAGCTATCCTCCTTCCAGGGCAAGTTTGTGAGTTCCTCGAAAGAACATGTTGCATGCCAAGAGGAGCGCTGACAGGCTGGCAGTCGAATCTCCAGGTCATCATCGGCGACCTCGACTCGCTACACAAGGACGTGCGTGACTTCTACTCCTCGCAGCCCACCCCGGCAAAGGTCATCCACGAGACCGACCAGGACTCGACAGACTTTGCCAAGGCCATTACGTGGATTCGCAAGGAGCGCCCTGCTGGCCTGGACATTGTCGCTCTGGGCGGCATCGGCGGACGAGTCGATCAAGGCCTGAGCCAGCTCCACCACCTGTACCTCTTCCAGCAAGACCCCGCATACTCTCAGGGCCGTATCTACCTCCTCTCCGGCTCGAGCATGACGTTTCTCTTGAAGAAGGGCTCGCACCGGATCCGGGTCCGTGGTGACGAGGAGGGCGCCGCAAGCGTCTTTGGCAAGTACGTCGGCATCATCCCCTTCAAGGGACCCAGTCGTATCACTACGAGCGGTCTCGTCTGGGACGTCTCGGACTGGCAGACGGAGATTGGCGGGAAAATGAGCACGAGCAACCATGTGCAGCCGGACGTGGAGTATGTCGAGGTGCAGACGACGGAGGACGTGCTCTTCACCATTGCGCTGGGAAAGGTCGACAGCGAGGACGAGTCGTGATATGCGGTGGAGGGCTGGAATTAGACGTTGCTCAATACCCTCACTTTTTCTCTTGTTGCTCGCTTCCCTCGAAATGGCCACGCTCTCTCCCCCAACGGAAGCCGCATGAGCGACGACCGTCTATCGTAGATAATGAATCACTAGCCAGCAGAACAGCAGGAAAATGATGACGCCCGCCGCAAAGATCCACTTGTCCTCCTTGGCTCGTCGCTCAACCATGCGAATGGTGTCGCCGCTGATGCCCAGGGTGTTGGCGACGCTGTAGAGGCGCTTCTGCGTGGTCTTGAGCATCTCTCGCTGCTGCCCCAGGTCACCCAGCACAGCCTGTCCACGTGCAATGTACTCGTCGAGAGCCGAGTGCGTGTTGGCAAAGAAGTTTTGCTCGCGCATGGCATGCTCCTCCCGCGCATTGTCTCCGGACATGTATGCTTGTTGTTGCTGCTGGTGCCGGGGCTGAAAGTCGGAATGTGCCGCCTGCTTCACGTTCGCGTACGGGTTCTCTGGCGTCGCATTGTAGGGTCGTCGGTTCCCGAGGAGCTCGGATCTGTTGTTCTGGTATTGTGTGTCGTCGCGCGCCTTCTTGAGCGTGTCGACCTCGGAGCGAAACGAGGAGAGGTCATCGCGGAACTTGCGCACTCGCTCCGTCGCCTCCTCTGCTTTCTTGGGCACAATCTCCTGTTTCGCGAGCGCGTTGTACTCGTCGATGGTCTTGGAGAAGGAGGCGAGCGAGGCGGACACGTTGCCCACTTCGGATGGGGTCGGGTCTGGCTTCGAGGAGAGGGTGGTGAGCTGGGCGCGGATGGCCTTGCTCTGGCGCAGAGCCGAGTTGTACGAGACGTTCTGGCGAGGAGGTGAGCTGGGTCAGCGAGTCATCTGGGCAGACACTGACCATCTTGAGTGTCTAGGTAGGTTGCGATTGCAGCTGAAGCGTTGGGCCCAGTTGTTGGGGGGTAAAGTGGCACTTGGTTGTGGCTGTCACATGCATGTCGCGATGGCGATGGCGATACTTGGCGGGTGCGGTGAGTGAGTGAGGCCACATTGACTTTATCGCTGCCGGAACATCTTGGGGCCGACGATTGATTGTGACAACGACCACGACTTTACGTAATGGCCTCAACTTGCATTCAGCAACATCATTTTCCAAAGTATCATTTTGATTCCGCCCCATTCAAGTGCCTGTTTATGACGCGCCGACGTGTACCACAATCCCAGGCCGTTCATTGTAGGATCCAAGCAGTTGAATCATGCTACATACACGTCAAGACATGAAGGTCCTGCTACCAAGGTTGCAGGCCTACTACCAAGGTTGCAGGCCTACAGTATACTATTTCGCAGGCGACTTCACTGAACACAGCAGAGTAATGAATAATGGGTATAGATTAACATCTTGATGCTATATCGGGATATCTCATAAACGACGTCTCACATCGTGGCAAACGCTTCCACTCAGCCTGGCAGCCATAGCTCCCTTAAGCCTCGCCGTGCTCGGCGCCCTTGACGGTGTGGGTGGGCTGGTTCTGGCCAATGTACTCGGACTTCTTGAGCATGTTCCACTTGTCCTCGTCAGAGTCGAGGTGGCGGAAGCAGAACCAGAAGCCGGCACCGCCGAGGAAGGAGATGATGGCGACGGTGGTGTAGTTCCACACCAGGAAGGGGTCACCGGAAATGGGGGTGAAGGCCTGGCCGACGGCGGCCGACAGGGCCGACATGAACAGGTTGACGGACATGACGAGCGACTTCATGTTGGCGGGGGCCTTGGAGAAGGCGTACTCGTACGAGGTGACGTTGGTGAAGATCTCGGCGAGACCGATGAAGATGTAGGGCAGCGCCTGCGCCCAGACGTTGATGGGCGCCGGGCGGCAGTCCTCGCCCGAGGTGAGCTTGTTGGTGATCATGTCACCGCAGTCGGGGTTCATCACGTAGATGTAGTGCTGCATGACGGCGGCGGCGATCATGGAGATGGTGGCAAAGATGAAACCGGCTGTCATACGCTTAATGGGGGTGAAGGCGATGCCGATCTTGCGGAGACCGGGGTAGAGGCCGTGGTCGATGAGGGGGATCATGATAACGATGGAGATGGGGTTGAGGTTCTGGATAATATCGTTGGGGACACCGTGGCGCTGCATGGTCGAGGCCTGGGTGGTCAGGTTGCCGGTCATCTGGTTGTAGGCCAGGAAGAAGATGGGCAGAAAGAGGAAGACCTTGCAGGCCATGAGACCACGGCGGACCTCGTCCACCCAGGCGTCGTCGTAGGTCATCCACTTGGGGCGCTGGTCGAGCGAGACGTTGGAGGGCTTGGCGACATCCCAGTTGGGCTTCCAGAAAGACGAGTTCTTCTGCACAAAGCGGAACATGCGGAGGAACTTGGAGAGCAGGGAGCCGGTCGGTGGCGTGAGCTTGTACTTCTTCTTCTGCGACCACAAGACGAGGGGGCAGAGCAGGAAGAGCGCCGTGGGGATCACGAAGGCCTGCCAGAAACCGTACTGGTTCTCGACAAAGACCATGCCGATCTGACCAGAGAGCGCGCCGATGTTGATGCAGAGGTAGAAGTAGAGGAAGACACGCGTGTTGGTGAGGGAAGGGTCGACGATGACGCGCTTGCCCTTGCGCTCCTCGACGCGCATGCGGGTGTCCGGGTTCTGCTCAGCCAGGAGGGGAGAGACGTTGGCCTTGAAGAAGCCGCTGCCAAGACAGAGGAGGAGCAGACCGAGGATGAAGACGCCGAAGCCAGTGCTGCCCTGGTCGATGACGGTGGGCGAGGCGGCGACGGTGAGGACGACGTGGGCAATGGTGGCGATGCCAATGGCCAGATGGATAGTCCAGAAACGGCCCATGCGAGCATCGGCAATGTAGGCACCGAGGAGGGGGGTCAGATAGGTGAAGAACTGGTTGGTCAAGTTGATGCCCTGGGCGGCCTTGGAGCCCATGCCGGTGGCACCAGGCTGGCCACCCGAGACGACGGGCGCGCCGGTGCTGGAGCCCTCGGGCAGAGGGTAGGCGACATAGTTGGTGTAGAGGACGGCGGAACCGTAGTAGGAGAAACGCTCGCAAAGCTCAACGAAGGCAATGGTCCACATGCTCCACATGATCTTGCCGGAGACACGAGGCAGGGTGCGCATCTCCTCCTCGGTGGGCTTGTCGGGGTAGTCATCCTCGTCCGAGGTCGAGACGACGTCTTGGTCATGCGTCTCCTTCTTGACGTCCATGGACTTCCTGACGTCCATGGAGCCCCGGGCGGCGTTGGGGTAGACGCCGTGGTGCTCGGCATCTGTGAGGCCGGCCCGCGCGATGGCGTCCGCGTCCATGTTGGCGGTGGTCGACATGATGGCGGTTGTGCGAGTAACAACTCTCTATTCTCAGGCCACAGTGTGACGATGGGAAGGGGAGGAAGTTATTTGGAAGGAGACGTGAAGGCACGAGCACACGATGAGCAAAGGAGAGAAGGCACGAGGGAACGGGGGAAGGAAGGATGGATATATATGTGCCATGCGGCTCGCGTGCTCGGTTGCAACGTTGTTGTCACCAGTTAGCGCTAGACTATCCACTCGGTGGCTATCAGCATCTCCTCCTCGGCCAGATACGACGAACGCCTGTCTTGTCCGTCTGATTATTCGCCTGCCCAGCGCAGTGGCCAACGCCGAGACTCCAGTCGCTCGACCCTTGATGCACATACCCCGGGATATCAGTGGGAGGGGCGGGCAGAGATGGTGTGGGTGGGTGGGTGGACAGCACAAGCGCGAGGATGCCGGAGCCAGACCGCCCGATTGAGAAGGCGTCCGGCGGATGCAAAAGGACCACGGTCCACGGCGGGTCCACTGGGCAGATCTCGACATGGGCGTAGCGATGCGACAGGCTGGCTGTCGTTTGTCCAGGGGCTTCGGGCCTTCTCTAGCCAGGCATAGAGCGCGCTGCCCGAGGCCTCGAGGAGTCGAGCCTCGAGCATCGAGAAGACGAGGAAAGCCACGAGGGATAGTGGCAAACTAGCAATTCCGTATCGTGGTGCTCACGCAACGAATGCACAACGGAAAACGGCACCTGGTCAGCATTGGCACACGTACGCCAGATCTGGCTATCGCCCCTGGCAGTGTCCCAACATGTACAAATGCAGTATGCACCCTTTGGATCGTCCTGTGTTCACGATGCTTGGCAAAGTTGCCTGCTATCGAACAGCGCCCGTAGCAGAGGCGAACCCGATGGAGATGTGGCCACGAAAAGTCTGCTTCCCAGCCACGACTGATTACTCGTGATAGCGGCAACAAGCCGCCAAGGCCTCGAGTCGCGTTCTTGACTGCCACGGCCGGATCCGGTGCTACGGATCTCCATTCATCATTATAAGCCGTTCACCATTCATCCTCCGTCATGATCCCAGATGTGGCGCGCTTGAGCACGCCCTAACGCCACAATCAGGGCAAGGCTAGGAGCCGCTGTCCCCAGCACCTGGCTGTATGGGCAATTTGATGGCTGGGGCGATCAGTGTGGCCACTGGCGGATGCTTCAGATGACTGAAGGACAGAACCATCCGGCTTTTGCGTTGCCTCTTGTAATCGTCAACTCAATTGATATTGATGATAGCAGGCGGCCGCCAACCGCACTGGGGGCTGGCCCCCGAGAAAGGCCCCAGGCCCCATTGTATTGACGCCAGATCAGAGTTTGGGTTAAGGTAGAGCGTGGAACTGAAGGGGGCCAACTTTACTTTGGCAGACGCCGTTAGGTAATAATTGTCGAAACAGCGCCAGGCGCGCAGTGGAGCTCCATGTCGCTTGGGGCGCGCCAAAAGTCCCCCAGGTCTGTGACAGCCCTTTCAGAAGCAGAAGATTGCAGTGACTGTCTAATTGATCCATTCTTGTCGCAGCGTCTTTCGACTTGACGGCGGGCAGCGGAGCCGCATTACTTGGCTCTCGCGCCAGGCCCTTGTGGAGACTGAGAGCGGTACCTGGTGAGAGGCCTCTTGATTTCTGTGCGTGACAGGTCGATGTTCTTCCCCCTTTCTTCCGTCGATAAGAGACATTACTCGTACTCAGACCAACCACGCACCAGTACCCGTGGACTCACCAAGATCCTTCAGTCGGGTCTCTGAACTTGAAAATTGAATTGATCACTTAATAGGTGGTGCCGTTTAGGCACTCGCCCACCAACCGGACCTGTGCGATCTTGTGGGGGAGGCTCAGGCCTCGGCGAACAGACAAGGATCCGTGCACGCCCAGGGATCCTTGCCATGGGTGTCCTGCAAGCCTCGCGCATGACCAGGGGCGAGTGCAACCACAAACCCGTCAAAGGTAACCAACGTCAACCGGTACAACATCAGGCAAGCGTTCTGGAATGATGACTGCAGTATCCAAATTGAGCAAACTGATAAGGTTCCCCGTCGTAATCAATCACATGCAATCCGTAGGCTGGACAAAACTTGGGGACACGGCTCAGGTGGTATCTCCTGAAGAACTGGTGGTGATGCCATCAAATCATTGCCCCAGCTACGTACAGAGAGGCACGCCGAACCAGCGAGGATCACATTTGCCACGCGCCCAAGCGTGGGCAACAACGCGGAGAGAATCTGGGGTACATGTAGCTTGAGGAAGCGATATTGTCACAGAAACGTAAAAAGAATCAACCCCAAAGCCGCGAGCTTATCACCCCAGACGCCTCTCTGATGAGGCTTCGTATCATCAAAAGTTCAAACAGTCAAAGGGGATCATTCCAACACTCAACGAGCGGGCAGCATCGGGTAGCACAGGCTTTAGGATCGGGCTGCCTTGTCCTCCTCGCTGCGACTACACAGATAGCACCCTCGCCAAAGACTTTTCCTATCCTTATCTTGCATGTGGTTTGCCCGTCGACACAAAGGAAGAGTAGGGCAGCGCGTGCTGATTGGTAGGCCTCGTTGGCTCCCTCTTGTGTCGCGGTTGTCTTCCCACTTCCCACAATGCCCATCCAACCTCAGCCAAGACACCGATTGCCACTATGTGCCGGCGTTCCGAGGCAGCACATAGCAGAGGCTTGGCAGCCCGCTTTTAGCCCGTCGAAAGGGGATGGAAGCATGCATGGAATGTCCTTTTACCCTGGCAAATAGCGGGAGGGACGCCTCTCGCACATCTTGGCACTCGTTCAAAAGATCCCGTAACTGGAACTTTTAACGTCGCCTTGGCAGCACCATCTACGTGCCGCCAAGGCGTAGGAATTCAAGGTCGAGTACGGAGGACGAGTTCAAAAGTTATGCGTTGCCAAGAAACTAGCCATAGTTGGCGTCTAGCCCGAAGTAGCCCCCCGGGAAGTTTATCACCAA